GCCACACCTTTGGCCAAAAGTACTTCTAGTAAAATGTCATGGGGCAGCACAGCAATCCCAAAGCTCCCATCTCCAGAAAAGATGATCTGGGAAACCACACCTTTGGCCAAAAGTACTTCTAGTAAAATGTCATGGGGCAGCACAGCAATCCCAAAGCTCCCATCACCAGAAAAGATGATCTGGGGAAACCACACCTTTGGCCAAAAGTACTTCTGTTAAACTTTCAAGTGGCAGCAAACACAGCCCACAGATCTCTCCCCCAGAAATAAAGGGGTTGAAGAGTATCGTAGTTACACAGGAGAAAGACACTACCATGCTACCAAGCACCTCTAAAGACGCTGCTTCCACTGTGACCCAGCAGAAATCTCTGAACCAGGGGGTCGACAAGAACGGAAAAACTCTAATATGGATCATTGGATCTGGTTNAGGGGAACTCACGCCTCTGGTAAAAAAGGCCATCTGGTAAAATGTCAAGTGGCAGCCCAACAGTCCCAAAGATCCCATCCCGAGAAGAGATGGTCGGGATTCCCGACCATCTCTTCTCGGGATGGGATCTTTGGGACTGTTGGGCTGCCACTTGACATTTTACCAGATGGCCTTTTTTACCAGAGGCGTGAGTTCCCCTATCATCTTCTCTGGTGATGGGATCTTCAGCGTTATTGGGCTGCCACTTGAAATGCTACCAATGGGTTTATTTACCAACAGAGGTGCATCTTCACAGATCCTTCTCATATTCTTCCCTGATGAGGAGGTCTTTGGGTTTCTTTTCCTAGCCTTTGAATATCGCCTTTTTGGCATTGGTTATCTTCCCAGATCCTCCTCTTTTTTCTCTCTGGGGAAGTGAAATCTCCAAATCCTCTAGTGCCATCTGGAATTTCCCAATAACGCCTTTTCACTGAAGGTCCACCTCCACAAGTTCTCCTCTTCTTCCTTACAGGGGAAGCACATTCTCGGCATCTGTTTCTACCATAGACCCTCTTTCTTTTCCTCTGAGGCCGGATTACAGTGATGCTTGAAGTATTCTCAACCAGTTTCAATGTTTTTTGTGGACTTTTAGCCCCAGGATAATATCTGGTTTTTGAGGATGGCTGCTGTGTGGATCTCAGACTTTGTGGAGGACATAAGTCCATCTGATGGCTCGTTGTAACGAAAAGATGCTGCAACACCTGGTTGGGTGTTATTCTCTGAATAGGATCCAGTTGCAGCATCTGCTTGACCAGCTCCACAAAGTTCTCCAGATCAGCCTTATCTCTCTTGGCATGTGCTTTTGAGGCATGACTGTCTTGCTTCGGCTGGACTTTCTTCAGATCATCCAGGGAGCTGAACATGCCTTCAGTCACTGACATGCCTCCATACTCATATGGTGTCATGAGTGTCCACTTATTTGAACAAGTGTTCAGGTAAAACTTTCTTGTTTTGAGTCCAGCGTTGAGGAGGTGCCCTGGCATCTCACCCTGAGTCTGTGTTATCTTGCAGATCATGTCATATTCACAGCTCCCGGGGTACAGTGGAGAGCCCAGGAAGAGCTCAACAGCAATGCAGCCCAGGGACCACATGTCTATGGGCTCGTCACAGAGGAGTCCCAGCATGGCCTCTGGAGCCAAGTACCACGTGTGCTGCATTGATGGGACCTGCTCTGGTTTTGTGGCATCGCAGGCGGAGCCAAAGTCGATAAGTTTGACCTTTAATGGCTGCCGTACGTGATCCACTAGCATAATATTCTCTGGTCTGACATCTGTGTGAGTGATCCCTAAGCCTTTCAGGACTTTCAGAGCTGTTGCCACCTGATGTACAATAGGTCGGATGTCTTTCAGGTGTAGAGACAAGGTCTTTCTCGTCTCCATAAACTCCTTCAGATTCATATCCAGAAGCTCGAATTCTTGAAAGAGATGGTCTTTGTAGAGGAATGAGGTGTCCCACCTTACAAAGTTCCCCACGTCAGAGTCAAAGCTCCTGAGCTTCTGTAGGATGCCATGCTCTTTTTCTGTCTGTGTCTTTGTTATCCTCACAGCCACCATTTCATTGGTGGCGGACTTGACACACTTGGTGACTTTTGCAAAGGCTCCTTGTCCAATTAAGTCCAGAACAAGGTAGTCTGAAAACTTGGAGGACAGCTTTGCTCCTCTGATCACCTGGAGGTCGCTGTCAAAAGAGGCAGCCATGTTGTAACAGAAAACCTGTTGCCTGTAGATCAGGTCAGTAATGTTTTTTTTCAAAAATAATTGAAATAAGACAGTGACAAATGAAAACAGCCAGTCTTGACAAGAAAGTGAGTTCAACTGACTGACTGATATATGGAGATTAGCCTAGTAGAATTCTTAGGTGTTCTAGACTCCTAGAATGTCTCTGTTTGACATTCCATGGAACTCCGGGTGGAATGAATGGAATGCAGTTACAATAAAAAGGAAAGTCATAAAAAGAAGTATATTCTTTTTTTAATTGTTTATAAAAAAGTAATACATATATATATATGGTGTATTTATATAACCTTAATGGGCTTTTGCAGATTTTCTTGTTTGTCAAGATCACTAAAAATTAAGCGAGGTAATCCTGTTAAACTGTTGGCCTAATCCTGCCAAACTCTAATAGAGGTTGTCAACTGTGTATGGGATTATGTGCGTGTTTCTTCAGGACACTATTGTATAGACCTCCTTGTGGTTTGATTTCTCTGGACTTTGCCTTAGTGAGAGGAAGCACATCTCACTGCAGATGGATATTTGCACCAGCCAGAAGTTTATACGTTTATCTTTAAAATCTATACAAGGGTTTTTTCACCTTACTGCTTAAAAATGATGTCCAGGGCGCCAAGGTGAGTCAGCATTTTTCCTGTTTATATATGAATGTTAAGGCATCGTTGCTGAAAAATGTTCATTTTGACACTGAAGGCCATATCATTATAATAAAAAACATACTTGCATTGTCCTAATATGGCAGCTGAAATAATAATGAGCAACATCATGAGAGAAGAAAGAGTGGGCCTGTTCATTCTGGTTTATATGTGATCATTTTATTTAGCTTATTCTCTATTTCTTCATACAAAATATATGTTAAAATGTTGTTTAACTTCTGCCATGTTCATGTTTCCTGTTACCATTCTGCCAAATGATGGTGAAAAGAGTTGATTTATTGCCACAGTAAAATTACCACCATTACTAATTGACATTTCATTTTTAAATAGTGCAGTATGTATTGCATTCGGTAAACAAAACACGCACAGAAACAATCATATACTTCACTTGATCTTAATTATTGGCTCATAATTTATACCGCTCTGTATTTGTCGAAACTGCACTTAAATACTTGTGACAGATTCTACCTTTTAACAATCTTCAGTGACAGATGTTTGCCAACTGAAACCTATTTTCATTAACTTGGGCCACACAAAACTATCATAACCTCCAATGCTTTCTTTTAATGTATACCTCTTTACTGTCAAATTAAATATATGAATAACATTGTGGCGCCCACTTAATAATTGTTTAATAGAAGTGCAGGGTGACAGGACAATTTATGCTTTACTCTCTTAATCTTATCTTTAACAGGTGGCATGACTCCCTGGTTAACTCTAAGCCCAAAAAACCTGCTCCGAAGCCAGGGGGGAAGGTAAGGATGACCTTTACCAAGAGTTTTATTTCCTTACACATTTCAGACTCATCACCTTTTCTGTTGGATATGAAGCGTCATGAGGATAAGGCAACATGTGACCTTTCAAATATTTCTTACTTTAGCGTTGAATTCTTTTTTATTCTTCCAGTTAAAAAGGGACGAGTTGGATCATGGTTAAATGATCCTATCTTTCCCATTTCTTAACTTGCAACAAAGCAGTATTTACTATGAAATACTCCTAAATTGGATCAATATTTACTGGATCATGTGAGGTCTTTAAAATATGATCCCAAAGAAACCTGTAAGCATTTAAACCTAGAACCATACTCATAAGTGAACACACTGCCACACAAATAAACCAGAAACAGAGAAAATTGGCAGCGTTTGTTTCATTTTGTGAAATAAAAAAACCTGCTTGATTTGACACATATGCTATGTTATCCTGGTTTTGCAACATTGAAGACATAAAAAGATGCACACAGGCAAATATCTCATCTCACTCACCTCTCATATTACTGTATGTACAACTCCCCACTACTCCAGCACTAAAGCTAATGCCAACTGTATGCAATATGCTTTAAAATGTTTGGACTACATCACCATATCTGTGTTGTTAGCTAAACACAGAAGACACCATTTCCTCAGAGTAGTATGCATGTTTTTGCTAGACGTGCATTTCATTTCATTAATGCAGCCATTAATGTCCGAAGGTCAAGTCAGTGCGTTTACGACCTGCACAAGTCGCTAAGTCAGGACTCTTGGAGCCTCCTCTAATTGATTTCGCTGTCTAGTGATCCGGCCGCAGATTGATTGCCTCTGCAGTTGGTGAGGCTGCATCGCTAGAGACCGGAATAAACCGCCTGTCTCTAATAGCTTTCCAACGCTCGAGTGTGATTAAGTTCAAGTGTGTGTTTGTCCATGATCACAGTGTCGGTCAGATGGTACTTAAGCAAATTAAGAGCTCTTTTGGGGATTAAAAGGTTGTCTCACATGGTGATTGGATTGTTTGTGTCAAAGAGGCCAAGTTTGGAATCGGGATTAACAGGAGGTGCAGTGATATTTAAATATGAGCATCCTCAAAAAACATACAGAACTTTACACCTACAGTCCTTTCTTATTTATGATGTATCTACTCAGACCATGAACAACTTAAGTCACTGGTTGCACTGTTGGGGGAGCCTGGGACTTCTGTTTTTCATTGCCATATATCTACACTGTAGCTAATGTGCATATGACAATACAGCCTTGAAACTTGAAACACTGTTCAGCCTATGTTGTCTCTCCCAAAGGAACCTGCAGCTGTTCCTGCGTCCAGTGGAGGTAAACAGGCTGCCAGCAAAACCAGCGTTACTTATGGAAGGAGCAACAGCCTGGGCACCAGAGGTAGTGAGACGACGGCCAGTGATAATACGGCTGGTGCTAATAAAGTTGGTGTTAGTTTGAAGAGAGGCAGCGTCGTCCACCAGGGGCCCCGAGCGGCGTCTCGCCCCGGCAGACAGGCTCTGCGCCTCTGCAGCAGCCGGAGCTTCTCGTCCCTCCAGAGCTCCTCTCTCTCTGCCGCGCCCTTCATGAGAAGCAGCCGCTCTCTCAACAGGCTCGACCAAACGCCCACGGGAGAAGGTATGTTTGACAGAATATGCATCCAAGTTAAGTTATTTTAAAGTCCATCTATGTTTGTATACAAATCTAAATGTGGTTGCTATTTTTTTCATCATTCTTTCAATGTTTTTCCTTAAGCACCACAGCAAAGTAGTTGTTTAATTGGTTTTCTTAGTAATAAGAATGGATACATATAACTAAAGGAGCTTCTGAAAAAGTATGACTTACAGCTTTTGTCTCTGAAATAGATCCAGAGCATGCATTCAAACAAGGACCAGCTGCAGCAAAGAAACCGTTGTCTTATTCGGATGAGCAGCTCAGGTTTGTTGTTTTAAAGAACTCAAATAACGCTAGGTTTTTCTTTTTTGTTGTTTCTTTATGAAACGCTTCTGTTGTGCTATATTTTGAATTATCTAAAATTGCTGGGCTTGTTTATGTTTCCATCCTTAAAGGGATGACGAGGATCAGTTCGATGGGGATGAGGAGGAGCAAATGAAAACAAGCAGCTCCTCTGAGCTTCAGGAGTCTCCATCCTCTGCATGTCATCATACCTGCAACAAAGTAAAGAAACAGGTAATGTGTCTTTATGAATACCTATTAAGTAACTGTTCTTACAAAACCTCATACAAGACTGCCAATATTTCTGCTTTCTTAGTTTGTATTGTTTTCTTATTTGGATGTACCAGTAGGGAACAAACCCTCTACACATTATTACAGTATCTGTTATCTAAGTCTTCTAAAAATCTAAATTGAAAAAAAGATATTTAATTAAGAAAACTCACATTGGATGCTCGAGTAAAGGGACTAAAATATTGAGGGTAAATCAATTAAATCCATAATTTGAAATAAACTGTGATAACACAAACATTCAACTGGAAAGCTAACATATCCACTTCCTCAACTTTAAGGTGTTTAATAAATAATATTTCTCTTTCCACAGACAATAGATGGGGTGCACACGCTCTGTGCCATGACCTCTATGCGAAACAACTGGGTCCAAGCAATGTTGAAAAATGTGAGGCACAGTCCTACCTCTGACGTCACAAGGTCAATACAGTTGTTAAAGTGTCTCCACCTTTACTAATGTCAAGATATTTGATAGACGTTGGTGCATATGACATACATAGTCAAAACATATTTCTTTGTTATTCCTCACAGCTCCTTTTCAGAGCAGAAAACTCCCCTCAAATCACAGCGTCCAGACTCGGCCGAGGGCCCGGAGAGAGCTGAACACCCCGAGCCCAGCAGCAGCGACTGTGCAGAGGAAACACAGGAGCAGCAGAAACACCAGGAGCCCAGCCTGCAGCCGGAGGCAGAGCGGCGTTCTGCTGATGGAAGCTCTGCATCGCCTGCCATCTCCTCCTCTCATCATCCCCCCATCTCACCCTCCGCCTCCTCCGCTCCGTCTCCCATCAGTCCTCCTGGGCAGGTGGTGGAAGGTAAAGGTGCTTCCCCTCTACGTTTATATTGTATTCCTATTTTTTCTAGTCAAGTTCATGCGAAAAGCTTGTCGTGCTGTTGCTGTTAAATCAATGACAGCAATTTGGACAATATTGGCTACTATTTAATCCTCATTATAACACATAATAATGTACATTTAGAGGTTATAGGTCTTTCCAGTTTTCATTATTATAATACAAATATATATTATTTTCTAGTAAAGTAGATACAATTAAACTTTTATTGTAAATAATTAATACATTTTTCTCTACTTGAGTGTTGGATTATAATCTATTGGAGTCAATGATGGCAATTTGCCCAATGCTCTATCTGCTACAATTTGTAATAATAAACATATATATCTTAAAGTACATATAATAATAACACATATTAATATAAATGCTTCTTTATTTGCTGATGATTCAATTTCCCCCAATATATTATACAAAACGACTTCATATTGTTTCATTTTATATCAAAAGTACTACATTTCTGAACCTCAGGTGTGACCGGTGCGTCTTCGTGTGTTGAGGGAAGAGCCGGCTCTACGCCCACAACAATGCAGTCAAATACTGAGAGCACAAGGGAGAAGGAGAAGCAGCAAACTGGGCCACTTGTCATAGAGGTGATATTCTAAATAAAAACCTATGATAAAAACTACAATAGTTACTCTTTATATATGAATAAGGATTATGTGTGTAACAAAAACAATAGCTTGAAGCATGTTCACCTGAATAAATCAAAGCATGCTGGTTAGTGTGACAGCTTTCTTAATATGTTCTCTACAGCTGGAGCAAACACAGAGGGAACTCTCTCGACTGCGGCAGTTAAACAGGAATCTGCGGGATGAGGTGCAACAAGAGAGAGCGAGGCATGCAAGTGAAATGGTATAACATTCATACATTTTCACTTCAAGTAGCGATACTAAGTTTGAAGGGGATGCACTAATGTAATTTGCCACATTGCGAAAAACACACATTGCTCTGTAAAAAAAGGCAAGCTAGGATGCCAGATAATTTGAAAGTTAACTCCTAGAAGTTAAAGTGGACCTATCATGCTATATTTGAATAATATATTGTAGGGCCATACCTATATAAAACATGTCTGTGAAGTTTTTTTTTCAAAACACCAAACAGATCATTCATTTTAGCCATGCCTCATTTCGCTCTATTTGCTCTATTCCAGCCCTGTTTTTGCAAGGGCTGATTCTGTGACAAATGAGCTGCAGCTGACCACGCCCCCCTGCAAAGGAGGGGGGCGTGGCACGAGCATCATGTTATCATGCTGTTACCATGCTGTTACCATGCTGTTACCATGCCGTTACCATGCTGTTACCACGCTATTACCATGCTGTTACCATGCCACGGCAACCCCCCATTCCCCTGATAGGTGGAGAGTTGCCCATATAGGCGGAGCTCCTTGTTTCTGACGTCAGAGATATTTCAAATCTGTATCAGTCTGTATCAGATCCGTTGCAGCCCCGTTTTTAGAGATTTGGGTATGGAGGAAAAGAGAGAGGGTTGGTTAGGGTTAGGGTTAGGGGACACATATTCATGTATACAAGACGTACAAAAGTGTATGTTACATGATAGGTCCCCTTTAAGTTACTTGTCCATAAACATGAAAGCACAGTTTGCACTAACACTGCTCACTTTGTTCCGCAGAACGACCTCCTCTCAAACTCCAACTCGTCTCCAGAACAAGCTTTGGTTTTACAGCGTCTTCATAAGATGAACCACGACCTGCGCCTTGAGCTGGAGGATCAGAAGAGCAGCTTTGAAGAAACAAGAGAAGTAGAACTACGGCGAAGGGTGGACCTCTTAGCTCAACAAGCTCAGTTACTGGTCACGGGCGATGCCACTGCCCTCGCTCAGGCCCGTCTGGAGCAGGACCGGCAGCAGTTCACGGAGCAGCGGCAGGAGTGGGAGCGCTGCAGGGCCTCGCTGAAGTCCCAGCTGAGTGCCAGCGAGGGGCAGAGGAAGGAGGCCGTGTCGCGCTCCACACAGCTGCAGCAGGAGTTGCAGAGTTACAACAGTCTGGAGCAGGAGGCTCAGCGCCTACACAAACATCTCCAAGAGGTGACCACTCAACTTCAGGCTAATGAGGAGGCGCAGGCTCAGAAAGAGGCTCGCCTGCAGGAGCACCTCATGCTCCTTCAAGCCAGTCAGGACAGAGAGCGCAGGAGCTTAGCCTCAAGCCTGGCGCAGGCAGAGCAACTCACGCAGGAACTCCAGAGCAGACTGGACATGTCTGAGCTGGAGGTGGACAGCATGAATAAGACTCAGACGTGGACCAGGGACATCGAGGAGGCTCAACAGCAGCTTCAGGAGGAGCTGGCGTGCACGGTGTCTGTGGTGCAGAAACTCCAAGATGAGAGAGAGCATCTGGACCGGCGCTGTCAGGAGCTGCAGAGCCAGCTGGGCGAGGCGGACGGAGAGGTGAGCCGGCTGCAGAGCCGCTTGAAGACAGACGAGACGCACTACTACAATCTGGAGCACTCGTTCGAGAGAGTTAGCGAGGAACTGCAGCTGGCTTTAGGGAAGGAGCGGCAAAGGGAGTCTGAACTCCAGGAGATACGAGAAGGCTACGAGAGACTCCTGGACAGGAAGGAGCAAGAGCTGACTGAAGTGTTGCTGAAGATGGAAGTCTTAGGGAACAGCCTAGAGGAGACAGAAGGTAGGCTGAATGAGAAGTTGAAGGTATGTAGTTGCGGCTCTCCTCAGAATGAGCGCAGGCCCATCGTTGATCACGCAGGAGATGACCCGGAAAGCTTTATGTCTGTGATCCAGGTCCTGGAAACCAAGCTTTATTTGACAGAGGAGAAGCTAAGGGAGATCATGCAAAGACTGGAGGAGCACCAGAGTCACACCGGCTGCCAGGACCCCCACCTCTGCTCTCAGCTGACTCAGAGCCGAGCCACCGCTCAGCACCTCAGTCTGCAGCTGCACAGCCAGGCCAAGCAGAGCCGGCGCTTCGCCCAGGAGGCGGAGGGGCGCTGCAGGGTGTTGGGCGGCAGGTTTCAGATCGCACTGAACATCGTACAGGCCTGCAGAGGGAGGCTCCAAGCCGCTCCGGTTAACATCACAGACTTCGACAAGCAACTCGCCGCAGCTGCTTCCTGCATTCAGCAAGGAGAGAAGGATGCTGAAAAACTGCAACAGGAATCACTTAACGCCAGCAAAGGAGGGGACAAGATCCTCAGTGGTGAGACTTTGGCTGGAGTTGAGAACAACAGTGCTACGTTTACCTCAGAGGAGGACAAGGAAACTGTTGGAAAGTGTCTAATGAGGGAAGTGCTTTTAGTAGATCAAATGTTGTCCGTCCTGCAGAGTCAACCTGCCGTTATATCTCTAACACCAAGAGAGGAGGAGGGGGATTTGGCACACAGGTACAAAACAATGATATCTCAAAGAATAGCCTTGAAAAGGACTTATTCTGGGAGAGCAGGATGTGAAAACAAGGACCCTATAAAAAGGGCAATAGGTAGAGTCTGTGCTGAAGCAGAGGTCATTTATGCTGCATTGAAATTTCAACTGCAACATGAGAGCGTTACTCAAGACAATAATCCAAAAGTTGAGCATCAAAAGAAGAGTCTGGCCAATGTGAATCCCCCGGAGTTGGCTCCTTATGAGGAGCAGCAGGTTCAGGGACAGCGAAAAGGTCCAGAAGGAGCCACACAGCCACCTGAAAGACATCAATCTGGAAGAAAGGAAGAGAAAGAACCAGAGTGGTTAGAGAGACTTATATCTCGGCTTCAAAGGAGAGCTACATTCTTACACAAACTCTGCCAGGAAGTTTCCGATGGCAGCGGAGTTGTTGAGCGAGGAGTGGATGATAAGTGGGAAAATGCTTCTGCAGCCGACCTCAGGTGGATGCAGGAGCAGGCGAAGTTGATTTATCTGTCAGACAGACTGCACTCGGATTTAGAGCGGCAGCGCAGCGAGGTGTTACGGGACAAACTGCAAGCTCTGTGCCAAGAGCAGGACAGCACATTAAAGGATGAGCAGGAGGCTTTTCCTCACACCTTATGTCAGCTTCAGGAGGACAACAGCGCATTACGAGAAACACTGGAGCGCGCTGAGCAGAAGATCATATTTATTGAGACTGGGAACCGGAGGCTGCTGGAAGACATCGAGAAAATCGAGGAATATCACGAGGAAAGGATGAAGAATCTGGAAAGTGGGTTTCAAGAGAAGATCGGGGAGCTGCAACACATCCACGAAGAGGAGATGCAGAACTTGCATGGCTACTACGTCAAGTCCTCCAAAGAGAAACAGAGCAGCATCTGCACAGAGTCAGAAGAGGCTTACCTGAAAGAAACACACGAGGTAACACACACTATTACTGTACTTCAGGAAACAAACACAAGTTGCTGAGGTGCACATTTAAAAGAAAAAAACGTACTAAGTTGCCTCTTAGTTCTTTATAGTATATTAAATATTTAATTCAATCAATCCCTGATGAAATAAAGGTTTAGAGTATAAAATCCCAAAACACACCAACACACACAACCTCTCTACACTATTATAATCTCACAAATGTTCTTAATAATCAATACAGAACTTCTAAATACAAATACATTATGCATCAATACAGTACGTCTTTGTTGCTGCACATACACAAATAACATTTATTGGGTCTATTAGTTCTTTATTGTATATTTATTGAAATCAAAATGAACAAATCACAGCTGAAAAAATAGTTTACAGTAATGAGTATGAAACACACACACACACACACACACACACACACACACACACACACACACACACACACACACACACACACACACACACACACACACACACACACCACTACTACACACATATATACATCACTTCGGGGGACATACATTGACTACATGCATTTCCCTGGAGACTTATCCTAACCCTTAACCATAACCAACACATGCCTAACCCTAACCCTTAGCCTTACCCTTACCCTTAGCCTTACCCTTACCCTAACCCAGGGGTTGGCAACCCGCGGCCCACGGGCCGCATGCGGCCCTTTAAGCCCTCTGCTCTGGCTCCCTTGAGCTTAGACAAAAATAAGAAGGAAATAAAATAAAAGTATTTGTAGGACTATTTATATTTTGTTGCACGGTTTAAAATGNACCAAGTCTTCACCCTAAAATGAATGATTCCCCTCATGGGGACCTCCATAAGGGAGGCTAGTCCCCACACGTGACTGTGTAAAGGTACCGTACCCGAACCGTAATAAGGTAAGTAAGTAGTAGCACACACACACACACACACACACACACACACACACACACACACACACACACACACACACACACACACACACACACACACACACACACACAGATGTATGAGATTCCCTTTGTTTTCCCTTCTGTATAGCAAGTTATATTTTAACACACACACACAACTACTGCTCATGCATTACCTAAGTACTACATCATCAATACTGAACCTTTTCTCAATGTAAATACAGGCAACCTGTGATCAGGGCTTCGCTGCTATGGAGGAGATGCACCGGCAGCTGATCTCAGACCTGCAGAAGCAGCATCAGACGGAGATGGCAGCGCTGCTGAAGCAGAAAGACAAGCTGCTGCAGGAAGAGACCACCGCCACCATGGCAGGTGAGGGTCTTCAGCAGGAAGTCAAACGACAGGAAAAGCATGGGGCCTGTTGAGTCAATGCAAACTCTTTAAGGTTCTTTATTTTCAATATCGGAAGCATTTGCAGAAGTTGTAACAGTGCTTAGTTGATACTTGGGAAGTAACTAAGTACATTTATTCAAGTACTGTACCATTTTGAGATACTTGTACTTTAGTTGAGTATTTCCATTTCATACCTACTTCTACTCCACTACAATTCAGAGGTAAATACTGTACTTTTACTCCACTACATTTATTTTGTAACTTTAGTTACTCTGCATATTTGGATTAATTATGTGAAATGTCAAGAACTCTTCAGTAAGACTTAAGTTACACCTGGAGTAACATTCACAAGCTGCAGTCATTCAAACTAGCTGCACCTTTATCAGCTTTGATAACACTTTAATGCATCAACAATTATAATAATATAACATATTATATATAGTATTCTGAAATGGACACATTTGCATAATAAGTACTTTTACTTTTTGGCACTTAAAGTATATTTTGATGCTAATATTTGTGTAATTTAACTTGGGTAAAATTTTGAATGCAGGACTTGTACTTGTAACAGAGTATTCCTACTCTCTGGTACTGTGAGTGCTTCTCCCACCTCTGGTTGATGCACATTTCATCTCTTTCTACAGCTATTGTAGCGATGAGAAGAGCCCATAAAGTGGAGCTAGAGAAAAGCCGGCAGTCTCAGCACATCAAGGAGAGCGCTGACATCACTCGACTGCAAAATGAATATGAGTAAGTGACTGCTTTTCCTTTTACTGGGTTTTTGTTATTTCTCTTATAATTAAGCTCAGAAGAAACAGTAGCATACATCTCACTCTGTCACTGCAGCTTTTATTGCAGAGCTACGGGTTCATGGTGTATTTAGTGATGAACAAGCCTGTGTCACTGAGCGCTGTCCGTGGTACTGATACCTGCATAGTGACGAACACAAGAGCTATTTCAGAATGTAACACGAGGCCATTTCAACCAAATCGACCTGCTACTTCTTTAAAAGATTATTTTCTGAATCTATAGTCACTTTACAGTTCAACATCATGCCTCTGGTTTGCCTCTGCAGAAAGGAGTTTCAGTTGATGCATAAGGAGCTCGAGCTGCTGTCGGTGCAGCACACTCAGAAATGTCTGGAACACTCTCAGCTGAGCCAGGAGCTGCAGGAGGAGAGGCAGTCCTCCCTTCAGTACCAGAAACAAAACAAGGAGCTGAAAAAGAAACAGGTATCAACATGTTCTTAGCCCCAAGGGACGCTCCTTATTTTTCGTTTTTATTCAATTAAGATCCTCATTTAAACAGTGAGAGAATGTGTTGTATTCACCGTCTCCTGTCTCCTGACATTTCTTACAGATGGAGACAGGTGAAATGTCTCAGCTACATTTCTCACTGAATGGGAAACAGTCCCTGGTCGAACCTCAAGTCAATGACTTCTATGAAATGGAGGTGAGTGTCTGGAAAACAGAGAGTACAGCCTTTAATTCACCCAATTCATAATCATAAAAAAGAAGAAGTAAGCAGTGATTTTGTGTTTGTTTAAAGTACCCATGTCATGGCCATTTCTACTGATCATAATTCCATTGTTGAGGTCTACTAGAATATATTTATATTGTGCAATTTTCCAAACTCACATTGGTTTCTCATTAGCATCTTTGTATAGTATGTGTAGGAGCCAATTAACTGTGGGTATAAAGGTAGGAACCTATGGTTGTTGGTGAGAGGTTCCGCCGGAAGGCCATGCAGTTTTTGACCACACACGGAGAACACACACGGACGACACATGGAGAACACACACACACGGAGCACACACACAAACACGGGATTAAAAACAAAGCAAAAGGTATTGTGTAAAGCATAAATATCGTGTGGTGAATGAAACAAAGAAACCAGTAAAAAAGGGAAATAAATGGACTATTTCGAACTGAAAACTTTGTTTCTGACTTTTATTCGGCAGCAAACAAGGTGTGCGTCAATGACACCCACCAAGCGGATCCTCAGAGGCTTAAAGTGTTGGCTTAGCCTCTACAGTATGTGTATTCACTCTCTGTCCTACACGCCTTGTTGGAGCTCCTAACCCCCCCGGTCCCTTTGAGCCCAGTGGCCGTCTGCGAGACAGCGAGACACAGCGAAACCCAGCCCGAGCACACACACACACCCGCAGTCTGGCTGAGAGTTTGTGTGTGTGCTCATACACCGACTCACAGCCTCGCCGCACCACTCCACGGATTAGTCCATTTGGACCAATGGGTCCCTTTGGGTATGGGCACGTCACTGTACCCAGGAAGAAAAAGAGAAATCTCCAATGAGGCGTTCTGGGGCAGCATTGACAGGTCTTTTCTGTGTTCGAGTTTTACTCCCTACAGGTTGTACTTTGAGGGTTTGTGACTCTGCAGACCGTTTACATGCAGAAAAACCTTCATAACACACAAGGGGACGGGTAATAACCGGAAAAGCATGACATGGGACCTTTAATGATTAACATGACTTTGATTTGTGTGTAATGGTACAAGAGCTTTGTGTATAGCCACACTGATCCAGAACTTGTTTTGTTTTATTGTTATCTGTCACTTATCCAACCTGTACAAAATGTAAACGTATGTTAATTTCCCATACCATTCCACTGTACACAACATATCAATTATAGCATGTTCTGTATGTTTCAGGTGATCCTGAGGGCGAGGGAGGCAGAAATGCAGTTTCTCAGACAGGAAGCTCGTTCTCTGAAGGAAGAGTTGAAGCTTGCTCGAATGGTAACGATATCTCTTTCAACTTTGTATCCTATAATCTCGCTAGATCATGAAACCATGTTGCATATTAAAACAGCATGATGAATTCAACTTCCTAAAGGGAGCTGCATACAATTCCATAGGCTAACACTCAAACACATTGTACGTGGTAAGTTAATGGTCGGGACTAACCTAAGCGGTTGACCAATCACAACAGAGCCGGCCAGCTAACCAATCAGGCAGTATGAGACAAATAAATACCTTTTTGAACATTAAAGCATGGAGACATGTCACAGCAGAGGCACAACATACAAATATGAACATAAAAAAACAAGCATGATAGGACCCCTTTAACATGAAAATAGCAACTGTTCAGAAATTTGAATTCTGATTAATTATTTAAGCTTGTGTGTGTGTGTGTGTGTGTGTGTGTGTGTGTGTGTGTGTGTGTGTGTGTGTGTGTGTGTGTGTGTGTGTGTGTGTGTGTGTGTGTGTGTGTGTGTGTGTGTGTGTAACAGGATAAAATATACGCCCAGAACAAGCTCAAGGCCCTCCATACGACCAGCCTGGATGAACCACACCAAGTTGTCACTTGGTTAAACCGAGACGCTTCAGGACAGAGCCTCAGTGAGACTCACTTTATTTTGTGTACATTGTTAAATTTAAAGACAACTCGTGAGATGTCTACACATTAAACATGTCTTCTGTTAGTTATTAAACAGGGCTAGACAAGATGATAAACATTGTACCCTCTTGTTTTCTCAGAAGACAATGGGACAAACACAAGTAATGCTGCTTTTCTGAAGAAGAAAGATAAATCCTCCCTCACACGTCAGATCAGAGGAGTCCGATCAAAGGTACAATGTGACTTATATTAACAACTTTGAACCTCTCACCTCACAATGACGTCCTTAAACTGTACTAACAAGTGATGTCAAACTTTGACTCTTTCTTTTATTGTCTTTGGCTTGCAGAGTTTAAAAGAAGGCCTTTCTATCCAAGAAAGAATGAAGTTGTTTGACCACTAGAGGGAGCAACACACACTGGCTTTTCTAGATGACACTTTTCAAGATTGATATAAAATATTAAAGGAATCACAAAAATAAATATTTTTATGTTGGTCCTATTACAGTGCACAGTGTAACTTATAGACACAATATCTGTGTTTTTATTGATACTGTCGTTACCATGTTGTACCACTAGATGGAGCAAAACCCAACGAGCAGAGGACACTTCTGAAACTGAAACTGTTTATCACCATTTTTTGAGCAGCAAATTAATGAATGAGACCTATTTATTAACATATTTATTAAACATTAGTCACGATGTTTTCCAATGTTGTATCCTGGTATCATTTTGTTATGTAAAGACAGACAATAAACTAAGTATTTCTGTTTATTAAAATACTTTGGTTATGTTTCCCTATTGCCCTGAGAGTCTAAAAATAACTCTTTAATTTAATTGAATCTCAATGTATCTTCTACCTCTGTACCACGGTGATATCAGAGTCTTTCATCTCTATAATAAAATCAGGATTGCTCCTTTTTAATCCAAAAGCAGATTAAATATCACCTTTAATGTTCCAACATGATAATACAAATAATAATACTCTCATTATAATTATTAATATGAATAAATAAGCAACTAAGTATTTTATTTGTATTTTTCCAACATGTTTTTGTAATTTATTTCATTTTAAAATTTGTTTTAATAATACCAATAATTACAATTATTATTATTATTACAAAATGTACTCTTATAATCAAAATAATAAAGTGAATTAAATAAGAATTAAATCAAATACATTTTTCACCTGTTTCAACATTTGATTAGAAACAATTTGAATTGTATATCTGTTCTGTTTTAAACACAAGATCAATACTAAGAAAAAATATATAAACAAAACGTTTTTATAAAAACAAACATAATAATAACAATGATGAAGATGATGATAATGATTATAATAATAATATGAAATAGGCCATTGTGTTATGTGTTATATTGGAGCACAGTGTGAAGCCTGGATGTCTGGGAATGTAACACTACTGCAGCTTTGCTTAGCATGCAGTGACAGTGTGTGTGTCTGTGTAAGTGAGATATTACTAACCTGCAGCTCTCAGGAGCCCAGCAGCAGTGCATGAGGAGGAAGCAGGAAAACACTGATGTCTGCTCTCTCCGGGGACTGAACAAACACATCTGTAAGTGTAGCATCAGGTCTGCTCAGAACCTGAGTGATATCACACTTCAGTCTCCAACGTCAGATCGGACGTCACACAGGAGGAGGAGAGTCAGTGTGAGGACTCATAGATACAAACCATTGTGTGTGTTATTAACCATCATCACAGAACATGCTGTTGACATTAAGTGCCTCCAGTTACGCAGAGATACACAGGTTGCCTCAGGTGACCCCTAATACAAGTAGATTCATCCAGTTACATGGGAGCTTTTATAAGTGTGATTTCTTACTCTATTTGAACCTGTCCATCTGTATTCTGGGTGATGACAGATCCATAACATGACAGGTCTGTATATCCAGAGAACTGATTTCTATGTAAATTCAGAATCACATCTCTTAGTGTCCTTGCAGAAGAGCTAATATGCTCCTTGGAGTCGTATTGCTTTAGAGGAACATCGCACCTCATTAAAACCCAACACTCATCATCTCTTCCCTGCCACTCCCGAGTGTGAACCTGCAGTCATGTGAGCTGACGCTTTGAGAGAGCTGTTTTCTTAATCATGGATATATTTCTGCACCTGTGAGATTTTCTTTGGATGCTTTGCCATTCAAAATGACGTAAACGCAATTTCTGCACTTGTTTCCTGAAATAAACATGTTTTTCACATCAGGCAGGTAAGATTTTTTCATCCTACGATACCTCGAGAATGTAAAACTTGCTAGTGGAGTTCATTCTTTCAAGTTGTAAATGATAACAATAAATATATAATAATGTGAATTAATGTTCATTCTTGATTATTAGAAATAGACCACAGGTCACATCTGACCCTGAATAACTGGGATTGGCCTTTTTAAAAATGATTAGTTATAGACATATCCGTTAGTCAATTGGAAACATCTGATGATAAATTGACAATTTATGTATTTATTTGCAGTGGACCCTGAGATGACATTATTTTGTGATCTGTATAATTTAGCAAAATAGATTTTAACTTGTTCGCGTTTAAATTATTGCATTTAGGAACTTCTCTTGGAAAGAAATCCACTTTATGATTTTCTTATAAATGTATATTTTCTGTCAGACTTAAGCTTCCTCATGGTTAACTGAATTGAATAGAGAACAAATTGAACTTAAATCTGTGACAAAAAATATAACTTGCTATACTATGGTTATCATAAATCTGTGTGTGTTTGGGTGTGTGTGTGTGTGTGTGTGTGTGTGTGTGTGTGTGTGTGTGTGTGTGTGTGTGTGTGTGTGTGTGTGTGTGGCCTAGCATTACTATACTTTTGGGGACCTAAATCTGTTTACACAGTCACGTGTGGGGACTCGCCTCCCTTATGGGGACATAATGGAGGTCCCCATGAGGGGAATCGTTAATTTTAGGGTGAATAATAGGTTAGGGTTAGGGTTAGGCATGTGTTGGTTATGGTTAAGGTTAGGATAAGTCTCCAGGAAGTGCATGTAAGTCAATGTAATGTCTCCTGAAGTGATGTATACATGGTATGTGTGTGTGTGTGTGTGTGTGTGTGTGTGTGGGNCATTTCCTGCTATCTTCTTCATAAGGTCAGTCAAAATGAATGAATGAACGGGCGTTTCTTTGACTATTTATAGGCAAATATGGGCGTTACGTGAAGCCCGCAAAAGCTGCATCGTTTTCCTACAAAGTTAACTCAGCCTCCATTGATTTTCATATCAAATTAGTGTGTTAATAAAATAAGCTATCATGGCTTATACTTGCATATCTAAACAGAATCATGAAAGCCTGTTGGTAGAGTCAGGCACACGAGTCCGTTTGAGTGTGTGCGCCGGTGTCTGAACGCTCGCTCACTGCTAGCTATGCAGCTAACTGTTAGGCTACTCTTGCATTATTATAGATCTAAAAGTAGCAAAATCTTCATAGCACAGCTTTACTTCTCACTTAACACAATAAATAAACAGACCGTATAGTACAGCACAAACAACACAAATGATCAATACTTACATATATTTTCACTTGTAGTATTATAATAATTGAAATGCTGGTTCTTCTGGAGGTGTTGTTGGCGCACCGCAGCTGCCTGCACGTACAATCGCTGGAGGACTGGGCTCACTCAAAAACTGAGTAGCCAATGGGGACGCACACCTGAAAGTCCCGCCCACCTGGGAGGTTTGTGTCAGAATCCTGGTCAGAATCTCAAACAAAAAGTGAAGGAGCGCAAATGAGCTGCAGGGAGAGCAAAAGTCAGATCATTGAGAAAGAAGAAACAAGAACTGCAAACAAAAACCTATGTTAAAACAAAGAAAATTTGTTTTATTTGTTTGCAACTTATAGTTTTATTTTTGAAATTTATTTTATTTTGCTTGACTCAGTTTTTTTTTTTTCTTTTAAACTCATAGTTTTGCTTTATTCTGAGAAAGTGTTGCTTTATCTTTATGATACAAAACGAATACCATACTCACACACACACACTCGGCGGGACGTTGCGAGGCTCTCTGCGGCGAGGAGCGGAACACTGTGAGCCGGCTCACTGGTGTGGGGTCGGCGAGACAGCGAGACACCGCTGAACTCAGCCTGGTCACACACACAAACTCCCAGCCAGGCATCGGGTGTGCCCAGGCTGAGTTTCGCGGTGTCTCCATGTCTCCCAGACGGCCACTGGGCTCACAGGGAGGGCAGGAGCTCCAACAAGCCGTTTAGGACAGAGAGTGAATACACATACTACTACAGAGATGCTGATGAGAAACCAATGTGAGTTTGGAAAATTGCACAATATAAATGTATTTTAGTATACCTCAACAATGGAATTATGATCAGTAGAAATGGCCATGAAATGGGACCAACATTGGTTCTCATTCCCCAACACACTGACAAAAGCTGATCAAAATGTTTTTTACGTCAATCTTTCCTTAATGAATACTTCCCGTCAGAAACAAATCGAGTCAAACGGCCAAAATATGCCATTGACATGTTTTAGTAAGCTTATCCGTAACAATAATTAACCACAACAAAGCATAGAAGGTATTTAGCAACAACCAAATATCAAAACGGCACCAGAAAGACATTGGCAGCGCTTCATCCATCCATGTTTATTTGAGCAATTTAAAATAGATTTTACTTTGGGTTCTGTTGGGGTGAATACATATATAGTGATGGTGAATCATATTTAGTGATGTTCATCAATCAAGCAATTCTATAATTCCAGTGAGTTAATTAGTCAAATCAGGAGCTACAGGGTAATATCTTGTCTTGTCTTTCTTTATCTTGCTTTGTGTTTGATGTTAACTTTCGTCCATCAGTGACTAGAAAAATAGCTATAAACAGAAAATAAATGAATATTATGCAGCACTGAAATGTCTAGAGTTATGTCTTAAGGAGAGGAGGTGCAGCTGTTGCATCATGTTACTTTCTTTTCCACCCTCCACCTCCTCTGGCGAAGAAATAGAACTGCTGCAATTAAAGCCAAATTTGCCTTTCAACAGCCCACTCTGCATGCTGGAAGACTGACCCTCCACGCTTCTCCGTCCTCCAACACTGCCAAGTGGGTGGGAAGCATCCCGTTTTATTCTCAGAGCCTCTTCCATCACACAGCACCTCTCGGAGGATACAGCTCTAAGAGGACGAAATTACACTTTCATTTGGCACTAAAGATAACTTACTGTAACCCTTAAATGGTTTGTGTATCCTAGGCGATGTAATCATTTGACAAGCTGTGTCCATGTTGTAACACGTATAACAGTGTAATAGGGGTGTAACATGGAGTAATATGTTGCTTTGAAATAATGGTGGGAAAAAAGTGTACTAACGGTGAATATGGGTTGTAAGATAAGTGAAATGTGGGTATAATATATAATAATGCTGTAATGTGGGTTTAAGATGGGTCGTAATATAAGTGTAATGTGGTTGCCAAATGGTGTAAAATGGATGTAATAACAATTTAATATGGATTTAACATGACTCATAATATAATGTAATATGGGTTGTAATATAGGTTTAATAACAATATAATATAGATGTGTAACATGGGTTTATTAATGAAATAATGAATAATAATAAAATATGGTCCCTTTTTGGGCAATGTGTTGCAGGGGATAAAGAGTTTTCGTTGGAAATAAAGGTTATATTTGGAAAAACAGCATGAAATGTGTATTTGTGCCCAACGACATGAATTAATTAACTTTCCAAAAAGGGTTATTATGGATTGAAAGGGTATAACAGTTCAATACAAGTCACTGTGATAGGATTTCATGTGAGGATATAATGAAACACCCACTCTTCAGCCCACACATATTTTTGGCAATTTAACCAACGCTCCGTTCTCATTAAAGCTGTGTGTGTGTGTGTGTGTGTGTGTGTGTGTGTGTGTGTGTGTGTGTGTGTGTGTGTGTGTGTGTGTGTGTGTGTGTGGTAATCTCTTTTCCAGTGTTCAAGGTTACAGGGCAGTGAAATCACGCCAGGTCTTGTCAGTATATATGCAAAGACATGCCTTATTGGTTGCATAAGAGTGAAAGAAGAAACCTTTGACCCCAACCAGACACCTTCACACCGAATCACAGCCATACATTACAGTCCATTCCATGTTTATCAAACAGCACACGCTTTCCCTCCCCAGATGCCAAATGTATTTTTTATAACTGGACAACAAACACAGCTTGTTGTAAGATCATCCCTACACTTAGTTACTGCATGTGTACCAAGAAAATAAGTAAAAGCTTTGTGAGATCTATTTTTATTGTGATAATCAACAGGAGAATAATGTTGTTGTCAATCAAATTAATATATTGTTGTCTCACACAACAAACTAAAACCCTGTAAGGAGAAAACAAGGTGCAACCCAGAGTCAAAATTGCTTTAAATCTATTAAGTGGAAGACAGGAAGAGTTTTTTTAATTGAGTCAGTCCATCAAGCAAGTATTTCCAGAAGAGAGAGAGAGCTTTTTAAACAATGTGTTGTTACTTATGTCTATTCCAGCAACATCAAACCAAAAACAATAATAATTTATTTACAATAACAGCAAGACAAATGTACACATTTGAGTTCTTCCCTTTAACTGTACAGTCCCGCTCTTGGTTCAAATGGCAATGGAAAAAACATTTGTTTTCTGGAGCAGCACGCCCATTCAGATATTTCAAGCCCAAGGCAACAAGATATAAATGTGAATGTGTCAAAATGTTCTGAATCGGCTGTCAGGTGTATACATTAACCAACATGGAGCTTTATAAGCTTGAGAAATGTGGAGGAAATACTCATTTATTTCACCAAGTGGAGTAGTGTCTGACGTAATATCTTTATTATGTATCCTATAATGAAAGAAATACAAATATAATTGGAGGTTGGTTATATGACAAGCAGCAAATTCATGTATTTTTAGCCATGTGTGTGATCTGCCACTGCGTGAGCAGGTTGGTGTGACAATGGAACGCTGAAAGGCATGATTATGATTAAACACATCTATCCCCTGCTGTTTCTCACATTGATATACTTTAATAATATACCTATCTCAGGCTATGGTTGGATTTGTTTGCACTGATTTCTAGGTAGACATCTGTTAAGACATAATGTTTTACAGGCAGCGTTAGATTTGATTAAAATGTTACTTTTTTTTACAAGTGTTTGTAGAATTTCTGCAAAATGTTGTCCTATAAACATCTGAATAATGTCAAAGGCAGTAATCTGATGTGTTTATATCTATATTTAAGCACTTGAAAGGGTATTCTCAGCCATTTAGTCTGCTCTTCTTCAAACTGCACCGTTTATCGTTGTTTTGTGTATAATTGTTTTTCTTTCAATCTGTGTTATTTGCATTTGACTTTTGAACACAATGAGCACAGATGTCATACATTAGGTTATAACTCCACCAAAGTAATGCATGGCCCTCAAACATAATGTGCCAAGTCTTTCTTTACCAATATGTGAGGAGTTTGTTAGGTTCACACCTTTTTATTTGACCTTGCCTCTTTTTCACTATGAGACAGATGGTCTGCTCTTAAGTAGCCCGAGCTGAAGCATTGCCGACAGTAGGCTACTACCCTGATTCCTCATGTCCATTTTTTTTACATCTAGCAAATGATGTAGTATTGAATGGATTATGGGATAATTTACTCTTTAGTTACCATGGAGTGCTATTTTTAAATAAAAATAATAAAGCATAGTTTCCTGCATTTCTCTTTTTTCTTGTAAAAACATTTAATGACTGTTAAAAAGTTAAACAGAGATACAAATTACCGTTAACACTTTCATCCAAAACGTTTAAAAAGATGTTTGAGTAATGACATTGTTCTGTAGTGTAAGCAAAACAAGTTAAGCTAGACAGGGTTAGTATGGAATAACAGTCTGATCATACAGAATATACTTTCTCATTATAGTTGTAAAACCTGGACTTACTTTCTCTAAAATCCAACAAAAGCACAGCGTTGTTTCTTTATTTATCAACTGATGAGGATGCTAACGTTTAGCCTGGGACCTGTTAGCTTTTCAGTGGGATATATAGCAGCCACTGGTGCACATATAAGACTGTTTTCTCATTCAAAAAGTCTAGTTCATAAGTTACAAATTAGCTGGACCGTTGCAACTAACTCCGGAAGCTAACGTTAGCTTTAGCCAGTTAGGGTTGTCTGGTAGAAATTATAAACCTGAATTACAGCTGCCTAAGTTCAAGGTGAAGATCTACCTTAATTATTATTGTAAACTGCATTTCATGTTGCCATGTGAGAACAGAACATTTGGCATAATAACAATTAACAGAAGGAGGCGGCTTAGCAAACGCCCTTTAAAAAAAAAGTATTTTACAAACATTGAAAAACTGAGTTTGAGACAACATTTGCAGCTAACTCATGAAGCTAACATTAGCAATAGCCAGTCGGGGTTGTCTGCTAAAAATTATGAGCCTGCATTTGTCTACAGCTGAATAAATTCAAGGTTGAATTGAAAATCTACCTGAATTATTATTTTAAACTGCTTTGTATGTTGTGAGAACAGAACATTTGGAGTAAAAACACGTAACAAAGGGAGTGCGGCTCAGCAAACACTCATTCAATCAAGCCTAAATGTTTCTGCTAAACTGTTGAGATATAATTTACCTGTTAAACATCTATTCATGTTTTAATGTTTCCCCCTGGCTGAAATGTGAAGACAGAGATTTGCCTTCATTATTGACTTGTGATGCACCATCAGGCTGTCCTCTCTTTCTGTTAGAAATACGGAAATGTTTAAAACTCTACCTTGTGATGTGTCGTCTTTAGTTAAATGCAGTCCATGATATAGCAGTTGTATGTAAGCCAACTAACCAAGTCATCCATTGACATTGTCTAATGAACATTTTTTAGAGTCATATTGTTCACATGGTTTTTACATTAAGAAAAAACTTGATCAACGCCTCTATTTTTTAGAACTTAATCTGGAGAAATATTCTCAAATGTTTAGTTTTCTGCAAAGTGTTAATCTAACTCCACACATCTGTTGCAAATGGTATACTTGAGGACTGTGAACAGCACCTACAGATTGTCCCGCCAAACCTATGAAACATTTAAATATATTCATACAAAACTATACTATTCTCATGCACTTTGTCATAGTCTTGTTTGCCTTTAATAAAGCTTCATAACCATCTCGGGGAAGAACAAAATGTTAATCATAAAATAAATCTAAATCAGTTTCAGTTTTTCAGATCAGTTCTGTTGTTTCCTCACGTCAGTAGAGCGAAAGTCATAGGGATTTTTACACAACACTTGCATTGTTCTGCATCCAAATAAACAAAGAAAAAAGTCAACCAAAGATTAAATCTCTGACTCTTTAGGTGACGCCATTTGATCACGTCCTGGATTGGCCTTCTCGTTCACTCGCTCCGATGAACTCTTCCTTTCTTCCTCTACCTCCACATCTCCTTCCTCCTCCTCCTCCTCCTCCTCCTCCTCCTCCTCCTCCTCATCCTTGCTGATGAAGGCCAGCTCATTCTCATAGCAAAAAGAGTTGGCACCAGATGTTGGGAATTTTCTCTCCTCCAGGTCTTTGGCACTGCATCTGGGGGTGGATGGTACTTCGTATGTTTTGTGAAAGTAGGCGTAGTCTATCCTGTACTGGCTCTTCTCCTCAAAGATGACGGGCTCATAGCGGTGACCCCAAAGGATCTCCGAGGGCAGGTAAGAGCTCCGTGCCTGTGTTGTCATGGCTGTGGCCTCCACCAAGCCTTCAAGTATAATTACAACCTCAAAGTCTAGTGTTTCGAGATCCTGCTTACTGATGCCAAACAGTGGACTTTCTTCATCGATCTCATGTATGACAGTGAGCGGTGCCACCAGAAACAGGCGGTCCGTGCCATCGTCATAGCCGACATTCATGTCAAGTTGATCCAGGGGAATGTATTCTCCTTCCTCTGTGTATCGGGGCTTGACAAGCTGCGCTCGCACATGAGCTTCCACAATGTGGCTCTTCCTCAGATTAGCTACCCTAAACATGAAGCACAGTTTCCCATCATGCATGGCAATGACTGCGTTGTGGCTGAACAGTAGTGTCTCTGCACGCTTTTTGGGCCTTGCCATCTTAGCCATGATGGCACCAATCATAAAAGCATCTATGATGCAGCCCATGATGGACTGAAAGACCACCATGAAGACAGCAGCCGGGCATTCCTCTGTCACACAGCGAGCTCCATACCCAATGGTCGTCTGGGTCTCAATGGAAAACAGGAACGCAGCCACGAAGGTTTTAACCATCGTGACACAAGGAACAAAGCTGTCGTCTTCATCAAGATGGTCCATGTCACCGTGTAGAAGTGCAATGACCCAGTATGCCAGGCCAAATGTCAGCCAGGACACCACAAACACCAGGCTGAAGAGCAGGAACATGTATCGCCAGCGGACATCCACACATGTTGTGAAAATATCCGATATGTACCGCTGTGACTTCTCATCCATGTTTGAGAAATGGATGTTGCATTGGCCAGCCTTGCTGACAAAGCGGCTGTGGTACTTTCGTCTCGTTTGAATCTTGCCATTACCGAAGCTGCCCACTGCAGGCATTGCACTCAGTCTCAAGCCCCCTTCTTCAGAGGACACGAAGCTGTGATGCTTGGCCCTTCCCACACTCATGCCTCAGTGGGGCTCAGCCAGGTTCTCACTATCAGCCCAGCTCATACAAAACTGATCAGGCTTACAGTAAGTGCACAGCTCCGGCCAACACACACTGGATTGAGAGGTGATGCAATAGTAGTTTCCTGTCAAGGAAGGAAGGGTGATATATTAGTAAACAACCTTTTCTATAATTCACACAATTCCCATTTTGTAAAGGGAATAATTATCACCTGAAAAGTGGAATATAAATGCATTAGTTTAAGCAGAAAAGCAAAATTACATTCATAAGTGTTTTTCTATAGTACAATAACAAAATGTTGCTGCTTTTGGCTTCAGCTAAAACATTGCACATTAAATACACTCAACATGAGGTACATTTCCACTTAAATGTCCCTGTAGCTTCAATGTGGGATAAAACCATTTCTTTTAGACTCTTCCTCTTTATTCCAGCACTTCATTTACCGCCAATAAATTGTTTTACTTGACATACTTTTGCTACTTACAAAGTTCTTAAAAATACTTTCGCTGTTGAATAAGAAAGCTTTGCAAGCCAATCACTTTAACTGGTGATTGGGTAACCACTCTTCTTGTATTTTTTCCTCTCAATATAATCAAAATGTCATTTATGAGTATACTTTACATTAATCTATGTATTGAAGCCTTTTAGATGTATATATATACACAGTAGATCATTGTTATATAACCTTTGAGACCTTTCTTTCCCCTCTGTTCTGTGAGGAAATACTCTGGTGTATACAATTCATGTTTCTCTGATCAACAAGGTACAGAAATAGCCAGCTAATCCAATGCCCTGCCATTTTATATGACGTATCTTCTGTTTCCTCCAGCTGGCACAACTATTAGAGTCACTGGAGTACCGTGGTGAGGCTATGCAATTCCCCTGTGAGGCTGAACTGGAAAATAAAATGGAGCTGAAAAAGATTGGGTATCATAAAAGAGACAGCCTCAGATACAATCAGTTTCATGATACGATGAAATAGATGGAATCAATGGCACACATTAATGGACAAATAATATTTACATAGCCGGTAGCACACCCAGTTTATGTTGAGTTAACATGAAGAAGTCATAGAAATCCAATTTGGTACATATTCCCCATGACTTTCCATAAACTCTGTCCCACTAAGTTTTTGTCAAGCCTGTAATGATAGCAAAATAGCCTACATTACACATTAAATAACTATTATCGGGAACAGATACAAATGTTGCTTTAGTCAAACTGTCTATTGATGTTTCAGTCTAGATAACTTTGGGATTAACAAATGTCTACAGCCATGCTCGTGGCTTTGTGAGGCTGTACTTGGCTTTGAGCTAAATGCTAACTCCAATATGCTCAGATGTTCACACTGTTTACCAGGTATCACCATGTTCAACACTTCCATGTAGCATGTTGGCATTGATAGCACATCTCTCTTCCCAGGGTCCTATGTTCCCTAGCTTAATATCATCCTAATTTAATACATTAAGGGGGGCTTTCAAATGGTTTTGTGTTCTCAGCAGTTTCTGGCTACATTTCTGTTTCCGAAGGTTGATATGCTCAAGTAGGCTAACATACATCTTATAGCTTACTAATGTTATACTTCTTATAATGCCCTCAAATGTTTGGACAAGCCAGTTTCCTTGATTTAACACACATCTTACATGTTTTTTTACGAGTTTATATTACAAGATAATGCCCTGGGAACATAGGATGATCCAGCTAAGGGAAATGTACAACCTGGTCTCACCAAAATACGTGAAATGAACACGACTCCTTAACACCGCATTACGTGGTGGAGACGCGGAATCTGCTAAATTACGTGTCGGCACGACGGAAACAACCCCAATGTAAAGTGAATGAGGAACCTTTTTCTTCAACCGTAACACTTGCTAATTAGCACAATGCTAATAGTACAGCTGGTGCTAGGTTTATCAACCAAAAGTCTTCAACAGGTTTAATTTTTTCCACTGAATAACGGAGCCAAATTTAAAGTTAAGTACATTCAGTGAAAGACTTGCATCCTCATTCTCTCATTGTTTGTTGTTTACTAAGACACAGCAAGGTGATTTCAGCTCGCAGCTAGCAAGTCACAGTGCGGCGCCAATTTTTATATTTTGGTTCATTGGACTCAGTTCTGTCTGTCTGTGCAAAACGTTGTTGCAACCATTAGTTGCACAGATATACAGTTATCTCTGAGTGACATTTGTGTCCCTTGTTTGATTGACATCCAGCTGTTCTGATTTTGTTATATGATCATTTTATTATTAAAGGTTTACACTCACTGCTGGAACTTCACTCATTTAAAGTCATTAAATAGGATACTGTAACACCATCACACTGCAGTCTGCTAAACTGTGGGTCAGCACAAGGTGACACTTGGAAACTGGCTGTGACATGTGTGTTGTTGCCTTTTCTATACTATAGGCCTACTGGTCGATTTCGATCAGGTCTTTTCTGATATCTGTGAGCAAGACTTGTTGGGTATGATCGACTCAAACTAAATGGTAGAACTTTGTTATATTATTGTTATTTGTGCTATTTCTTCGAGAAAATAGATGCACTTGAACATCAAATAATGCACCTTACTGCTTTACGATTGTGCAGTGATGAAGCAACTGGGATTTCATCTTTAATAAAACTTCAAAATGGGGTCACAAAGTCTGCTCTGCAGGTGTTCCCACCAGGAATACTTTATACCCAGAATAATACCCTCTTTATAGACATTTATTTATATAAAAACAGACATGTTCAGCACAAAGTCAAGGTATGTTTTAAACCCTCAGTCTGAAATGTCCTTGAAAGAGTTTTCTTGAGGGTGATAAAAACAAATGAGCCATTCTGCATGTTTGAGTGGGGGTATGTGTGTGTGTTTTACGTGGTAGTCTCTGATTCTCAATGCTCTAGTTGCTAAGAAGCAAAAGATATTAATAACTAATACTCAGCTCTCACAGGAGCCCCAAACTGCCTGCTGGGCTGTGATCGTCACAGATGAGTCTATTTCTATGCTGACGTTTTTCACAATAGAGACTGATAATTAATTTGAATTGAATGGTGAGAGGCGGTGCACGGATCACTCATTTGAAGGGCTATGGCTAAAGTATAACATTCATGTTTTGAATCACAAGCAGCTTACCTTGTGTGCAAGCTTTTCCAATAAATGTTGATTTCCAACTTTTAATCCCTGTTTTTCTGCCAAGCTACTGCATGTTTGTCCTCAGGCGTCCTTCAAATGTTCTCTTCTTTTACGGGTAGAACCACTTTATTCTCCCGAGGCAGAAAAGTAAACGGTCACAGAGTAGCATCTTGTCTTTGCCTTTTAACAAGTCTCTTTCTCCACTCAATAAGCAGAGCATTACAATCACTCCTGCTGTCAAGTCCTCCAGAGGAAGTGCCCGATTGATATCTAGATCAGAAACAGTCAAGAAATTAGAACGTTACTTTAGTGAAGCAATGAAATCATAATTCTGACCTCAAAAGAGCCTGACAACATGATCACGGCTATCCCCAATTCAATGTCTGTAGAGCTCACATGACCTGTGTGGGGCCAGTCCAAATCAAAACTGAATCCCTCAAAGCTTATTTTAGAGTCATGGGCAGTCAAGAGTCTCACACTTTCTTGGTATATCTGCTATCTGATCTTCTTCTGCTGCAGATCCCACTCTGAATCCCACATCCAGTGAACTATTGCTCACGGCTCAGCTCTCGTCCTCCCCCTCCCTCTCACGGTGTCACTGTAGATACTTGGCATTTGGAGACTACATGCTCTTCCTCTCCCAAGTGTTGCACCCCGTGCTGGTCAGCAACACTCAGAGTTTTAAAAGAAACAACTTCTTTATTTAGGACTGATGTGTACTAGAAAGGACCAGAAATAACCAGGACAAACACACTTGAAATTGATTTCTCTGGGTTGTGTTGTGTAATAATAATAATAATAATAATATAATAATAATAATAATGCTTCCTAGGTTCTATATTTTATTTAATATATATTATTTTGTGAAAGTATTGTTGTAAAGACAACACTGTTATGTGGAGTAATATACCTTTAAAACCTCTCTTTCTTACGGGATAAAAGATGCACATCTGGATTAGTGTTGTTGGCATCTTTACAAATAGAGAAGTAATTACCACCTTTAATCGTCTGCATTTTTGTCTTGATTTGAACAAAACCCAGCAGACCACTGAGTGGGTGGTGTGGTCTTCATTTATTATTCTGATAGCAAAGCAGCTCATGTTCAACACGCTTCAACAATTTGAATAGACCATTCAGGCAGCTCCTTGCTGAACATCACTTATGTGTGTGTGTGTGTGTGTGTGTGTGTGTGTGTGTGTGTGTGTGCGTGTGTGTGTGTGTGTGTGTGTGTGTGTGTGTGTGTGTGTGTGTGTGTGTGTGTGTGTGTGTGTGTGTGTGTGTGTGTGTGTGTGTGTGTGTGTGTGTGTGTGTGTGTGTGTGTGTGTGTGTGGAGCACCAGGTGTGTGTGGGGCACCAGGTGTGTGTGTGTGAGTGTGTGTGTGTGTGTGTGCGTGCGTGCGTGCGTGCGTGCGTGTGTGTGTGTGTATCTGGATAAAGGACAAAATTAGTCAAAAATAACTTGTGTAACACAGGGCAAATAAGCAGTTTCACTTGATTATAGTTGTAAAACAGAACGTATGCTAGCAGCTGTGTGAGACTGTACTTAGGCTCAGCGGGCTTTCAGCTAAATGCATGCTGGTGTTGAGCAGGTGTAATGTTAATTTTCATGAACCATGTTAACTGCATGTACTAAACTTAAAGAGCAGCTGAGGTTGGTGTCAACTGATCTTCTGAATAAATGAGGCTGACAGTTAAAAAGTCATTAGGATACATTGTCTTGGGAGCATGAAGGTCTGTACAACATTTTGGGTCAATCTGCCAAATAGATGATTTAGAAATGATTTAACATTTGACCATTTCCTGTTTCCTTGACTCTATGTGTTTGTAGTTACATAGATCGGAAATAAGGTCTGAGATTCACACAAGCTGAAGAGATTTTCGTATTTTGTTCTACACCAGTCAGTAAATACCCCACTCGTGAATGTCAGAAACTTCTATGTCTTAAAAACTGTTGTTGCTAACAAGTGACTAATTAAACTACTAAACGTCCTCATGCTGACATGAGTCCGCCTTTAGCTTAGCGGTGGTGATGTGAAGTCATGCGGCCATGATGCAGTTTGTTTATAGCCTTTAGCATAGCTTTTACTTCTGCTGATTGCATTAACGGTTAATAAAATCATAAAGTGGTTTTAATAAGTTTAGAATATCCTAAGTATTATATATGTGTGTTTGCAAGAGAGCTAATTTCTCTGCAATATACCAACATCCAATGGATTGCTTTTTGTAAAGGGAGCCCTTGCGATGCTGACATCTGGGTTGGTTTACAAAAATACGTCGTCCCTGCACCACTCTATAAGGGTTCGTCTTATGTAGGCCATGAATTTGAACGTCATAGTGGCATTTCCTCTGAAAAAAGTCAAAGGACTCCAGGGACCACGATAAAAATGTCATAAAGTGTTAAAAACACAATTGTTTTGCACACATATCCGATTAAAATATATATGCTCTGTGCAAGCAACCACATCTCATGCTGGTTTTTAACAACCCACCGCCACACTGCTCTGCCCGGGAGTTTATGATTATTTTACAGGACAGAAACCGGATCAGTAGGTCTGACGCAGACTCACTAGAGGCCAGAGATGAGTGGAAGGTGTGTGTGACAGCAACATGACGGCCTCCAAAGAAGCTAACCCAGTGTGTGTATCAGTTTTCTTACTCTAATCGGAAATAATGTTTGACCTTCGTCGGCCATGTTGGATCATGTTGACTGGAGCAGTAAGTATTTTCAGTACGCCCGAAGCTTTTTCTTTTTACTTTTTTCAAAGCACTCTGAATTGCCTTGTGTTGAAATGTGCTTTATAAATAAACTTGCCTTGCCTTTTCATATCTTTTCAGGAGTACACATTTACCTAAAGCCACACATTACAAATGTTTTTACACTCTTGTAAGAATTTTTTTTTTTTTACATTACAGAATAAACAAAATCTTTTGTGCGGACAAAGCAGACTTTCATTAAGTAAAATCATAGACTTGTGCTCCTGTGTGTGCGTTGTAGCTCTACTGTACTTCCACACTGTGTTAATGTTACTGTACTGTTACTACTACAGGCCTGTAAATGGGTTATGGGTTCAGTCATGAGACGGCACACCAGATGTGGATGTGTAGTGTGCTTTAGGGACAGAGAGAGCCCGGCCGATACCAGCAAGTTATTTAAAGGCCGCCTGACTGCGGCAGCTTAAAGTGGGCCAGGCTCAGGACCTTTCAGCACAAACTCTCCTGTTTCATATCGAGTGTATTTCCTGTTGCACTTATCCCTGTGCGGTACACATAAGACACGTGAGCATAACTGGCAGCACACTCAGGATCAGGATCTTGGCAGGCACTCCAATTAAAAAACTGTACCTGTTTTGTCAAGTGATCTCATTTATTGCAAATCCTGCCGACTGTTTTTTTATATATGGATATCTCAAGGTTCAAGGTTCAAGGCTTTTATTAGTCATAGTACTATATGTATAGGAATATAGCTACAGTGTAGTTATGACGATGAAAATCTTAGGTCACAGGTTCCTCCCACAGTGCAACACAATAAAACAGAAAAACAGAAGAAATAGTGCAAGTAAATAAGTAAACATTTTAAAATAGTGAAAGAGTGAAATAGTGCAATAAGACCAATAAGAGTCTATATACAACTGATTGGAATATGATATATTGGATACGTAATTTCTAAGTTGCAGCCAAATGAATTTTATGGATGTTGTTTCAAAAGTTCAGGTGTTTAACATTCTTACTGTTTTTACCTTACCTCTGACTGTTGGGAGTTAAATAAATCACATTTAGCTTATGTACTTCTATTGCCAAATCCTCCTGTGTAACACAGCAGTGATCACAAGGAAGGAGAGATAACACTTGAAATATGAAGATACTGTATCGCCTGAGTGATATTCATATCGCTGTTGGCAGTCAACATCGGCAAAAGTAACCTGAGTGGGGAAGAGAGGCGTTGTGCTCCCACCCATCAGATAGAAATGCTGCGCATACATAAGACACAGGACATTTTTAGGGAGATGTTCACTAACCCCCCTGCTCCAGTTAGGGAGTGTGTGCCAGACCAGCCTATTCAACATCCTGCCTCATCATAACAAAGTGCTCTCACCTTTTGATAAAACACAGGGAGGCCATGCAAGCTCCACACGAAAAACTGCAGGTTGAATTCTCTCTCACTGTGAGGCAACCTGATTCACTCAAAAGCTGTTATTATATTGCATACATTTGAATAGTGAAGTTTGTTTTTCCTTACACAACGTAAAAGTTATTTGTAAAGTTTACGAGAAGTTTAACGTTGTGGAAAAGTCACAATCTGTATTATTGTTTAGGATTTTTAAGGTCTATATCTGATAGGAATATGCATCACATCCTAACATCAGTTTCAGCATCAAGAGAAGTTTCTTTATACATTTCTGACATGCTTTTTTAAATGTGCTTCCTCAAATATAAATGACCCTGATCATCCTCCATGCTGAGGTTGGCGTTGCCAAACTCGAATTGATGCCAAATTGGTATTTGTCTGAGGATCTATCTATTGTCATGGAAACTCTGGTAAATTGTAGCTACATTCATTTTAAAATTGGTTAAAAACGCCTTGTTAAACTATGATCTGAAACAAATTGCCCATGCAGCCTTTTTCTCTGCACAGTATTTTAAAACACAGACATGAACCTGTGTCACATGTTAGAGGAAAGAGAGGAGAGGAAATAAAGGCATCATCGGGGAAGCAGGCTGTGCCTCCGTGTGTTGCAGTAATTGATCTTTGCATGTTGAAATGGGCCACTTATTTTTACAGCGTGAGCAGGTGCACCTGTATAATGGTGTTTCTACATCAGCAGCTGATCAGTCATTACAACCTGGACCGTTTGTGGGGCAGCTCGATCTGCACACACACACACACACACACACACACACACACACACACACACACACACACACACACACACACACACACACACACATGTGTGCGTGTGTGNCCCTAACTCTCTGAATCGGCTGTGGAAAGGGAAACTGAAATATAATATCAGCGTGACATCTCTTCAGGACAGAACAAGTGAAGGAAACTGAACTTCTTGGTGATATTATATTTCAGTTTCCCTTTCCACAGCCGATTCAGAGAGTTAGGGCAGTGCAGTGTTATTCTTCTGAGAGGTGTGGATAGCTCAAAGGTCAGAGAAGGAAACTTGTGAGTGGAAGATGGAAGAACTCGCCCTGACTTGGAAAACTGGAAAAATGGTTTCAGAAATCAGGGTGGACTAGAGTGGAATTTAAACAGCTGTCTAACTGTCCGAAGTTACACAATGCTATGGAAATATATGTGTGAGTATCTTTTGCTTCCATAAACTATCAATGATAAAACGTTGTCTGCGCACATTATGGAATCAGCATTAAATACCCTATTAAACAAAAATGTATAGGAATGATAAAACAGACATTAAAATATAATAAAAATAACACAATAAAACACATGCATTGGTAACACACTAATATTTAGTCAAAAGCAGATACAGTGTCGTTGTAAGTGTTTAAACAGTATAAAATGATGTTTGATTATGTATAATTACACACATTAACTCGTCCTTATTATATAACAGATGTATTATCCCCTAAAAATATTATTTGGATGGCAAGTTTAAAGTTGTTAATAAACTATGATCTACTTTTGTATAATGGATATTTTGATATTTCATGAATAAATGTGATTATTAAAATGAATAATTATGTTAATAATATTTGTAATTAATTAAAATTCTGCTATATTATAAGGACTAATGAACGGCTTTTACCCTATTGTATTTGTATTTATGAAAAAGCAACTTATTCCACCTCTGATTTCATTCATAATCATATGGCTGTTGACAATTACTATATGAAGAAATACAAACTGCTTTCAGCTACAATATATTGTGCTATTATACATTGTAATTGTTTATATACTCTACTTAAAGGCAATATCTTTTCTTGAACTTTCCAGGCAGTCAAACCGATAATGTAGAAAGCTGACAATGTAATTTATCCTAATGTGACCATCATGTGTCATGGCAAATATCAGTCTCAGGTTGAGCACTGGTTTGAATCACCTTTAGTATCAGCTCTCCAGTTGAAGCCAGTTTCCATGTGTAGCGATACACTAGTGTTTACTGTATGATCCTCTATTGCTTGAAGTTATTTCGCTCACGGAGACATTCACTCTCCAGCTGAGCACATCACTCAGCATTTACTCGCAGCTCCAGCCCGACGTTCAGTATTTGATTACAGCAACAGGCTGATTGGATTTCAGAAGTCATGACTCAAATACCTCCAGCAAACACAGAGCAACTGGAGAACTTCCTGCTTGGGATGGACGAGCAGAGAGGACACCGAATAATCAGCGCACACACAAACACCACCAGGGTCAGCATGGAAAAATCACTGACATGATCTGCAGGACGCTACACTTCAGAAAACAATCAAGATTTATAAACAACTCCAATGGCTGCAACAAGGTTTTCTCTCTCTCAGGCTGCTTCTGTGGGTCTCTGTCTCAAAGGGAAGTTGTGTTGCATTCGTCAATTTGGAATTAGTGGATTTAATGTTCAAACCGAATACTTATTTTTTCTTACTCAATTTCAGAACTTTTACTGAAAAGACTGAATGGAGCAGGGTGTAGGAAGTATCGAAACTACACTATATTTAAGTTCATCATTTATGTTCCTCACAATAACCAATTATATTTTTATATTTTAAGTAAATATGAAACATCTTTGTAAAGGAATCCTTTATCTGACCTGAGACAAACCGTCAAATAAATGATGGGAGAAGAGATCGGAAACAGATAGACAAAGCAAAATCATGGAAATTATTTTTAAGTAAGGTCATCACAAAAATCAATATAGTTGAGAAACTTACTGTGAGTAACCCTCGAATTGTGTTTATGAAGACTAATAATAATGTTGACAGCAGAACTATACCAACTGACCTGAACCTCTTTGCTGCCCTCATGTGGCTCATTATTCTTGTAACATGCAAACATCATAATCCATTTTTCATAGAATACATATTAAATCTAAGCAGCATGCATAACATTTTGCAACAAATGTAACATACATTTTGTTCATTATATTTCGATATTGTTTGACTATTTGTTTTGATCACCTGACTAGCGATAGCCAAAACCACACAAAAAAAAGAGGCATTTCATTACTTTCTTTCTTTAAATACATTTTTATTACAGAAATGACGTAGTTTTGACAGTGTGGCCTTTTAACATAAAGACATCGTTTTACATTTCAGGTATTTTGGATGGGTGAACCTGCACAACAGAGCCATGAATTCCTCTCAGTCTTTTAGGTTTGTGCATGGGTTTGTATTTGTATATTTCTTCAATTATTTGATTTGACCAAGCACAGAAAACCACAGAAAACCGCAGACCCTTCCTCCCCTCTCCCTCTCCCNCCCCAGTGACCCCTCCCCCCAGCCCTGTCCTCTGTGCAGAGCTTATTTTTCAGCCCCAGTTGTAAAGGTCCTGATCTGTAACGGTCAGGATATCTGTGACCAGGCCGGTGCCGATGGTTTTGTTTCCGTCTCTCAGAGTGAACCTCTGGCCTTTCTCCAGGACCATCGGCTGACGGAGCGTGAGCGTCAAGGAGGTGTCCTCCCCGGGCATCACCATTTCCTGAAGGAAGAAGAGAGGGATTGATTATTGTCCTAGAAAATCCTGTTATTGCACTACATTGTTTATTAGGGCTGCAACTAATAGATTTGTTTTATTGCAGAGAAATAGATTAGTTGTTTGCTCTATAAAATGTAAGAAAATGTTCCCATTTTAAAAACTGGGATCAGATAATGTTGACTTCTGAAAACCTAATCAACATCAAATGTTGTTCACTTATGAACAGTAGGTCATTTGTAAGCATATTGAACTGCCTTGTTGTTGAAATGCACTATATACATAATCTTGCCTTTCCTAAATATACATATAAACAGTTGTATGCCATATTTGGTAATAAAACAGTTATGCATTCAATACTACCTTTAACAACTTTTACTGAAAATGTCAACCAATATAAATGTGTAACAGGCCAAAGCCTTTTTAGCATAACTTTTCTAATCCCTATGGAAACAGAGATGCTGGTTTTACAGATTAGAAAACATCATAAAGTTGTTTGCCCTTGTTTACAGACACTAACTGAGTGAACTCTTTGGGATGGAATTTAAACTCTATTCGACAAAACATGGTTTTACTGAAACACACAAACCTTGTCCTCGGGCAGAGTGACCCTGCAGGCCATGTCCCAGGTCAGAGAGAACATGAGGGGCATGAAGTTGGAGACGAAGGGTTTGTGTCGGCCTCCCTCCTCCTTACTCAGAACATACACCTGCAACACAGGAAGCACAAACACCACACACACACATCAGAGCTGCAATCAGTGGGAACAGTGAGTAATGCATTTCATAACAACATCACAAAAACTAAAAAAGGGACTATTGACCCGTCAACAGTTTTAAAATAGCCAGTTAGATGAATCGATGGAGGCTATGTCCGTATATATCATTCAATGGTAGAAATGTCTCCACCAGAGCTGTTTCCACCACAGTGAATATTCGTGTGTGAATTTGTGATCATGGCATGATGTCATTATTCGTATAGAACCTTGCAAATCAAGCTGCTGTTTGTATCAGAAAAGGAGCATTGCATTGTGGTTTCTGTTTTGTCATTTTCTTTAAATGGAAGATGAGCAAATGCTGCAGGAAAAGTCTTATCTTAGCAACATTACGACTTCAATTTCTCTGGAAAAAATGAGTTCCATTTTGAGTCTTTACTTTTGATCTCTGAAATAATGTGATGAAGTATGGTATGGGTATTTTGAACCAATACTTCATTTACTTTACAGAACAACGTCCGTTTCAAATATATACCATTACAGAGGTAGAAAGTCGGCCAGTATTATCGGGCATACCTGGGCCTGGATTTTCCTGTGAGGCAAGATGGATCCTGGTTTGCACATCACCATCCCTCTCCTGACCTCCTCTCTCTTCAAACTTCTAACCAAAGCGCCAAGATTATCTCCTGCCTCCGCCCGATCCAGAGACTTGTGGAACATCTCGATACCTGAGCAAAATAAAGGACGGACAGAAAGGTGAAAATCATTCGTATGCACCGAATCTCAGTATATACAGTATATTATATTTGTGTTAAAAGCACAGGAGCTCCCCCTCTTTGTTTCTGTTGCTTCTTTCTTTCACTCACCTGTAACCACCGACTTGAAGCTGCGGTTGTGACCCACAAACTCACACTCGTCTCCCTTCTTAATGACCCCCCTCTCCATAGTGCCTGTCACCACTGTGCCTCTGCCTGAAAGACACAATCGATAAAACTCAGATTAGGAGATTGTTTTTTTTTTGACTTAATACAGGAATACACATTTTAAGATATACACTTATTACAAGAAAAAATGCTAACAGTAAGGCTCACCATTAACTGGATTTAGATTTTAAGTTCTGCGTTGAGACAAAGTGTTCATGTTGCATTTCTTGCCTGTGTTTCATACCTGGGATTGAACACACTCCTTCAACGGGGAGGAGAAAAGGTTTTTCCAGCTGTCTTTTGGGCAGTGGGATGTATTCGTCCACCTTCTCCAGCAGATTCATCACTGCATTCACACCGAGTTCAGGCTGTCTGTTCTGGGAAGAGCAAAACAAAAATAATTCAGTCAAGACACCTCTCATCAGAGACTCAAAACGTTAAACTGCAAGTGAATTCAACCGTGGGTTACATCGGTATAAAAGCGTAGTTGTATCTAAACCCCTAAGATAGGTTACTGCCAGTCGTCCCCCCCCCCCCCCNCGCCCCTCACCTCCAGGGCGCAGAGGGCCGAGCCGATCACAACTGGTGCGTTGTCGCCATCGTATCCGAACTCTGTGAGCAGCTCACGGATCTCGATCTCCACCAGCTCCAGCATCTCTTTGTCATCCACAACGTCGGCTTTGTTGATGAAAACAACAACGTGCTCGACGCCAATCTGCCGCGCCAACAGGATGTGCTCTCGTGTCTGAGGCATCTGGCCGTCGGTGCCCGCCACCACCAGGATGCAGCCGTCCATCTGGGCTGTGCCTGTAATCATGTTCTGAGAAAGAAAAGACATAGGTGTAATTCATTATGTTTCTGAGTACTTATTTAGTGCATAGTTTAGGGCTGTGCAATTAATCCAGGGTGTGTGCAGGAATCCTGAAGTGAAATGTAAAACCTTTGAAGACCTTTTTTAAGACCCTTTCCATACATTTTAAGACCTCATCGCCCCTTCCAGTTTTAACCGGTTACCTTGGCGACACACTTTACCTCACATTGACTATATACAGTATTGATTGTCCTTCCTCCTTATCTTCCAACCATTTGGACGCAGACTTGCATTTCCCCATAACGATGTTGCTTAGCAACCGGCGTAAACGGACCTTCACGCGGTATCAAGCAGTGAGCGTGCGATGTCCTGTTCAGATGACGTCAAATCCAACGGGATGCCATAAATAAACTACACAGAATCACACTACACACCTGCAATGATTACATTCAGGCAAACTGTAGAATACAACCTCTTTGGACAATTTATATACTTATTGAAAACAAGCTACAACATTTAATACCTTGGAAAATGCCGTTTAATACTTTGTTAATACTTTTTAATAGCCTTCATTTTCACTAATTTGATTGATCAACTTTTAATGCTTTTTAAGACCCCGCGGACCCCCTGTAATCGTATTTTAATATAGATGTTGGCTTGCAACGATTACGAAAACAACGTAATCGAAATAAAACGATCATTATTATTTTATTTATTGGTTTTCCAGTTGAATTATACTTAAAGTTCAGGGTAATCAACTGTTAAAAACATACTTTTCAAATTTCTTTTTCAATAAATGGATGTTTTCAAAGTAAATGGATAATCGTTTTTAATAATCGTGATATCAATTATTGACCAAAATAATCGTGATTTATGATTTTTGACATAATCGCACAGCCCTAGCATAGTTAGTTGTATATGCTTAAGGAGAAACAAGGATTCTGATGAATAGCACTTTCTAAGTCATGTTTGTTTTAGGTATGGCGGGCAATACATTAGATTATTATTAGGGCTGTCAGTCGATTAAAATATTTAAATCGCGATTAATCACATGATTGTTCATACTTAATCGCACATTTTTTATCTGTTTATCTGTTTTTAATACTCTTATCAACATATGAGTGGACAAATATGCTTTATGCAAATGTTTATTACTATTTGAATAATGACAAATATTCTCATGAATATTAAACACAACAACCTCTGAACATTACAAATATTCGCCTCAATTCAACCTGGAACCTCTCATACAATACTGTGTGTGTGTGTGTGTGTGTGTGTGTGTGTGTGTGTGTGTGTGTGTGTGTGTGTGTGTGTGTGTGTGTGTGTGTGTGTGTGTGTGTGTGTGTGTGTGTGTGTGTGTGTGTGTTGTGTGTGATGGATCGTTGGAGCTCTGTGCAGCTCAAGGCATATGCTCGAACGGGAGCTGCCTGGACGCTGCAATCATGTTGCGCGCACTATCCGTGCTGAGTGTGCTGACTTTTCCCACAATGTCCCCCTCTGTCTGTGTCAAGTCAAGTCAAGTGCTCGGCGCAGTTGTCAGCGAAATGTCGCTCCTCTGTTTTCATTGAAACAGATCCTTATATCCGTTAGCGCAGCTAGCTAGCACCAGATGCTAACAACAGCAATAAACGTAAGGTGTGCCTCGCTCGCTCGCGCCACACATACACACACACCCTCCCGGTCGATAGAGATGGTAGATGGTATTTTAAACTCGATGCGCTCTGAAACTACGGGGCGGCCGAGGAAAAAAAATACACATGCGTTAATCGCGTTAAAATAATTAGTGGCGTTTTTTTGCGTCAACACGTTAACTTGACAGCCCTAATTATTATACAAAGATGTTTATTATTTTCAAACAGTCTTCTTGCAACCCGGAATTGCAAAGAGTAGTTAAGGTGCAGATGAGGTTTGAGCATGTACACATATGTGGGTTACATACTGTATATATTTATTAGCTTTTGAGTATAGCATAAGTGATATTCAACCCCATTGGTTGTATAGCACTAGCTCTAGTTTCCGGAGTCTGGTATAAATATAGTATATTACCTTGACGTAGTCAGCATGACCAGGACAGTCCGTGTGAGCATAATGTCTGTTGGCTGTGGTGTATTCTACATGAGAGGCGTTGATGGTGATTCCTCGGGCCTTCTCCTCAGGGGCATTGTCAATTTCTTCGTACTTTTTAAAGCTAGCTCCACCAGCTTCAGCGAGCACTGAGGACAGAAAAAGGACACCAAGGTCACATTTATGATTTTTTTTTGTACCACAGCACTAGAAAAATGTGGTCTTGACTTTTCGTCATTTGCAAATTTAGTCTGCAGATCAAAAGTTAGGATATCAATTATTCTACCTTTTGTGATGGCTGCAGTCAGGGTGGTCTTTCCGTGATCCACATGGCCAATTGTTCCTATGTTTACATGGGGCTTGTCCCTGGTGTATGTCTTCTTCACCTCTACAGCAAAGGTCCTCCGACAAAGGGGCACAGCAGACTAGAATTCAAAGACACACACAGGTGTTATAAAATTGCAAAATAAAATGTTAAACAGTTTAACAGTGTGTGAATTCAGTCACTCACCAATCTAAAGGAGCTGTGTAGGAGGCTCGGCGAAGTCAGCTGTAGGGCTAAAGAGGGGATACAAATATAAGTAAATATACATTTAGATAATCTCTGACTATTTGACCAGATCATCATTGTCATTGTATTTAAAAAGCAAATAGAAAAACACTCAAATATTGTTTTATAAGCATGTATGTTGGTACCTGCATTGAACCAAATTCATCAGTCTTTTTTGATAGTAATATCACAGTAGATTACATTTACATAAAGTTACATCAGGTAGCTAAAAATGAGCTCTGCAGCAGCTGACATCAAGCCATTAAACCCGATTAACCGGAGGACTCGACAGTGTCAATCTACTGCTTTTTATTCAAACAGTGGGTTCCATCAGCTTTATAGTGGTTTATAATATAGGTTTCAATCATAATTTCTCACTCAGTTGTCAGCCTCTGCTAGCTGTATCGTTAGCTAATACCGGATAATGTGACCTTGCGCTGCGATCCAAGAGTCATCAGCATCGCTTTGTATCATGATAGATTAGGTTTCTACAAACGCAAACAAGATACTATCTCAAGTGCAGAACAGACCAAGTTGATATAGACAAATACACTACCAACAAGCATAAAGAGTATGTTACTACAAGATAATTAAATAATTTTACCGGAGAAACATGCGCGCAATCCCAGCAACGACGCCATCTTGGATAGCTAGACAAATCAAAGACGGTCAACTAAAACAAGAGAGTAATGGGCAGCTCCGAAACTGTCTTTCTTCTTCTTTGGATTAGACCACATACTTCTTCTTCTTCTTCTTTCGTGTTTATTGGCAGTTGGCAAACCAACTTGTAGGTGCATTACCGCCACCAACTGGACTGGAGTGTTGACAAGAGACTATGCAGAAAACAATAAACAAAACAAACAAAACAAAACAAAGAACCAAAACTCTACATTATTTTAAATTGATCAATTTTTCTTAGAAACGTAATAATCTCATAATACATATTGCCTGATTTTTCCCTACCAGCCCTGATAGCGACAAGTAATGGAATTTTGCTTTCTTCAGTGTCTTGAAAAGCACATTTCTCTGAGTACTATATTTCCTGCAAAGCAGTAAAACATGCTCAACAGTTTCTGGCTGGCTACAGTGTATACACTTTCCGGTTGGATGCTTTCCTATTATACTTAATGTATGATTGAGACCTGTATGAGCATCTACTCATCCGAGAAATTACATTTTCCTCCTTTCTTTTAAACCCCACCTTCCTTCCATCCCCCACATACCTTTGAATTTTATAAAGATGTCTTCCTGTATCACTAAGGTCCCAATGATCTTGCCGTGTTTGTGCATATTTCTGTATGAATGTTTTAACCTCCGCTTTACTGAGTGGAACTCCTATGTCTATGTTCATACTTCTGAGTGTTTGTTTGGCCAGAATATCCACCTGTTCATTACCCTCCACACCAACATGAGCAGGAACCCAGATGAAACGAGTTGCTATGCCTTTGATTTGCATTAAAATAAAACTTGCTGCTTTAAGATCGCCAATCCATCCAAAACTTGTTAAATGTGACTCATTGTGCTCCCGGCAGTCTTTCAAAAATACTTTTCGCAGGATCACTATCACTATGCCCCTGAAGGTTTACCCAGTATGTGCCAACATTAACTTCACTCTTCTTATCCTTAAAGGCATTTCTCCCATTTCCACCTGTATTGCTGATACTGGAGATGTTTTAAAAGCTTCACTACAAATTCTCAGGGCCTGAGCTTGTAGGACATCCAGTTTTTTAAGCTTTGATTCTGTTGCTGCCATGAAAGCAATACACCCATAATCTAAGACAGGTCTCATGAGTGCCCAATATATATTCAGAAGTGATGACCTAGTCGCTCCCCACTCCTGTCCCGCCAAACACCGAAGTACATTGTTGACCCAAGTTTTTACATTTATTTTGAACTTTTCCTATATGATTGCTCCATGTTTAGACCACATACTGTAAAGATTAGACGGACCAGGCGCTCAAAAGGTGTGTTGCTGCCCTCTGACGTTACTACTTGTTAGTTGTTAGATGATCATTTCAACAGTTGTGTATTTTTATATATAATCCACACATTTACCATTGTTTCCAGAGCAATTTGTATTTAGATAGGAATGCGAAGAAAACTTGTTCTCGGGCTTTAGCATGTACTAAACTACAGTTTTAATCACTGCAGCTGCTGATCCATAAACCATACATTCATTGGCTCCAAAGTTGTCGTCTTTAGCAGCAGACAAAATAGCGTTTTATCATAAATGTGTATTCTGTAAAACAGTATAGCTATAGTAGAGTCCTACCGCTCTATAGCTACTAATAATGCTAGTATAATACAAATCAAAAAATTACTTATTAAATCCCTTTAATAAGAAAAATTGTCAAACTGAACGTTTTAGGACGCCCGTATAGGAGATAGAGAGAAAATCTGTTTGAAAAAGTGCTTTATTATTTCTTTGGTAATGTTTATTGAGAGAATTGTATTTCCTACTCTGGAGCCAGCTGGGGTTTTGACAGAAACATTTCTGGGTAATCTGAGTGGAGGTACTCCTCTCTTGGACTGATACTCTTTGAACGTCTCGCGTATAAACGTCACATATTTACCGTAAACACGGAAATATAGTGGAGTTTGGTATTCTGCCTCTCAAAAACAGCTTGAATTACGCTTCATTTACGAACAAATTAATTCTGAATGAATGACGTTTTTTAACAAATCGTAAAGACTGAAATGACTTTGGGTTGAAGAAAGTAGTTCGGCTAAAAAACCCACAATTCAGCTTGCCCATTTGGTCCAAGTTTTACGGTACAGCATGGCAGCCTCCTTACACTCGTGTTAGCTAGAATGTTCTGGCGCATTCGTATTACTGTGTTTAAAGGGGAGTCATCTTGTTTCTAAAACACCCCGTGAGTACATCCAAGACGATTTGAAAGGACGTTTGTAAAGGTAAAGTGTGTTAAGTTTAAGGCTTATGTATGGATGTATTTTATAAAGCTAGTTGTGTAAAGCTCAACAACAGTGACTGCCCTCAATGTTAGCATCTTGAGAGTTAAATGGGTTTGCTCTATGTTTGGGCTTCTGTTCTGTACGTCATTTCTGAATCTAGTTGTGGCTGATATTATGATAGTATGGACGCAGATTTAGTTTTTTTTTGTACAATAAATTCGTTTTTATAGGGAAATATAATTTTCACAAAAAGAGATGGGCTTACTCCAACACACTATATGTTCTTGAATACATAAAGAAAAGAAAATATATAAATATTTAATGTTTTTCTCCTCAGCTCCATAATGGCAGAAAACAGACAGCCAAAAAGATATCCCCAGAACCTAGGGGGGGTTTTGCAGCTGGCTGTGGATGCTGGTTCAGCCGCAGAGGGACCTTCTCCTATTGAGCCCATGTCAGAGGAGGTAAAGGCCTCTTACTATATTATGTTTGTGTTAACTATATTTAAACCTTGAGAAGGGTTTGAACAGAAACCCTTACACCCCAACACCTTGCTAAGTCCAAGGTCAGACTTTCTATTTGGGTCAATTGTATTTCATTACCATAATTGGAAAAAAAAGGAGCAGCAAACACTGACTTTCAACACCTTTAACCTCACACTTGAGTTTTTAATAGAATAAGGAAGGGAGAATAACAAATACCAAAACGATGCATACACAATTATCGACAGACATACCTGGTGTAAGAACAAGTGTGCATTATTTAAACCATGATTTAATAACACTATTTAATACAACTATTTGTTTATTTAATGATTTAAAAGTGAGTTTCTTCTCTTTTTGATAATATATTGTGGGTTCTATTTCTCCGTTTGGATACTTGTTTGTTCGAAAATGCATCAAAGAAAACCGAGAAACATTTTTATACTTCTGTCTTTCTTTTTCCAGAGGAAACTGTGGCTGAAAGGTGCACTCGCAGAAGTCTGCAAAGGACAGATGGATGAGGTGGAACAAATTAAGAAGTGCTTGGAAGTCTTAAAACACGAGCGAGATGCTGAGAATGAGAGAGGAGAGGAGGAACGGGGCGAAGAAGATGAAGATGAGCGGGAATCAATCTTTGATATACTGTCAGAGTTGTGTGAGAATTTGGACAATGCTCGAGGTTTGTAATTAACACCATTAGAGTTGACATTTTCTTTAGATCAGATGTTGCAGCTACAAATAGGTTATGAATGAAATACTATATGTGCTCTATCCTGACTGTGTGTCTTCTTCCTGTTCTTCACAGACCTAATGACTCTTGGCGGACTGGATTTGAGCATCTCCCAGTATCTGTGTCATTCCCGAAGTGGACTGAGGTGGCGCGCTGCCCATCTCATCGCTTCCTGTGCCCAGAACATGCCGCAGGTGCAGATCCACTTGTTCAAACTCGGGGCGCTGCCGAAGCTGCTGCAGCTGACGGACTCGGACCCCAACCCCACCGTCAGAGTGAAGGCCCTTTACGCTGTGTCGTGTGAGTATCTTAAGACAGAGAGGAGAATCCACAAGGCAGTTCATTTTCAAAACTGACTACTTAAAACTTGGATATAATAAGTTAAAAAAAGTTTAATTACAAGCCTTAATTGTGTTTCTGACAGAATTGAGGGATTAAAGCGATAAGTCTAGATTTTGTTCGCTTGACTTTTAGGATACTTTAAATCAGCAAAGAATTGGGAAAGTTGGGAAAATGCTTCATTTTATAATCGTTTTCATGTTTTTAAGGTTAGGAGTTATCTTAGTACGTAATAGAAGTAATTAGTTTCTACTAATCTGGTGTTACATTTACAACATGATTTGTCTAAACCAAAAATCTTTTATTGGTTTAATAAAAATGTCTTTCTGGCGTCCCACACTAGCTTAGCTTTAAATAATCATTATCAAAAATAAAATGTAATCTCCAAAGCTTATTAAATAAATAAAGTGAATACAGAAATGGAAAACTGTGTTACTTAATTTCGGCTTCATGAGATTTCCTGTTTTTGTTACCTTGGAGGGCCTTGAATTTTAACCCTTTAAAGCCGTACAAACCTTGAGGAAACAGTACCCCTCACATAGGGCTGCTCGATTATGGCAAAAATCATAATCTCGATTATTTGGGTCAATAATTGATATCTCGATTATTAAAAACCATTATCCATTTACTTTGAAAACATCAATTTATTGGAGAAAAATGTTTTGAAGAGTATGTTTTTAACAGTTGATTACCCTGAACTTTAAGTATAATTAAACTGAAAAACCAATAAAAAAAAAAGAAAATTATTTTAAAAAAAAAGAAAAGAAAAACAATAATAATAATAATAAAAAATAATCGTTTTATTTCAATTACGTTGTTTTCGTAATCGTTGCAAGCCATAATCGTAATTGCGATTTAATACGATTAATTGAGCAGCCCTACCCTCACAACAACATTTGAACTGTATCCTGTTGGGACTTTAGGTCTGGTTCGAGAACAGGAGGAAGGACTGAAGGAGTTCTTGTCCAACGATGGTTACTCTGTGCTGATGCGAGGGATGCAGTCGGACAACGAGAAGCTCAGGACCAAGTCGGCATTTCTTCTGCTCAACCTGCTGATGGCTGAACCCGAACAGAAAGGTACGGAGAAGAGAGACATGGGGACAGAATGGAGTCAAAATAAAAAAAAGATCTTAAGGGGGAGATAGCACTACAACAGTGTATGCCACATATAAGTAATGAATATCATCTGATGACTGTGAACCTGAATATTTATTCTAGTCATAAATCTGTAATAAGATATTTTTGTTTAGGCTCCTATTCAAATATTTAAAGATTAGACGTATAAGAGCTTAGAACATGATGATAAAGTATTTGATGGCTATCCCCAAGCTCTATTATGTTATATGTTCGGTTGAGTACCTTTTTTTTACCAAGATTTGGTATTAAATGTAATACTTTTGACCACTCAGGATTTGATAAACATGAACAAAAATCCCTCAAACCATCTCATCATGACCTTGATGAACCACATGTAAAAAACCTATGCAGTGTGACAAGCATTATAGCGCTGACTCTGTAAAGTAGTTTCTTTAACTTTGGTCTGTCTATCTGTTTCCCTTCCTACAGACACAGTTGTCTCCATGGGAATGGTTCAGCAGCTGGTATCTGTTCTCCGCACACCTCACTCACCTGTCCATGAACACGTGCTCGGCGCCCTCTGCTGGTAAGAAACACTCTCTACCTTACTTCCTCACACTTTGACATTTATGCTTCACATTATTAACATAGCCTCTGGTGTCTGTGTAGTCTGGTGGAAGAGTGTCCGAAGGGCCTCAAAGACTGCAGTACTCCTGCTCTGGGTCTGGAGGAGTTACTCAAACAGCGATTCAAGGAGCTCAAAGGAAAAGAAGAGAGTGAGGTAATATATCTGTCTTTGAGCCTAATTGAAAAATATATTTAAACTGAAACCATGTAGGAAGCTGAGCTAAAACAATGTCTTTACTATTTATTTCATAAGAAAGGAGACATGGTTATAAGACAGTTGTTTTTTCTCATGTACAGAATTACTAATGCATGGCTGCATAATCTAGTGTTGAGGAAAAATGTCCGGTGCCTTGCTCAAGGGCACCACGGCAGCGCCCAGGAGGTGAACTGGGACCTCTCCAAGTAGCAGTCCACACTCCATACTTTAAGTCTGTTCGGGGACTTGAATCAGCGACCCTACAGCTCACAGTCCAAGCCCCTACTGACTGAGCCACTGCTGGACTATTACATTTATATATGTGAATAGGGAATTTTAGGACAATAAGGATAGCCGTTTCGGGAAAGAAATCTATATTGTATATATTGGCTTAATAATTGTCCATGAACCAGTTTTTAAAGTCACTTTTTTTGTTTCTAACAGGAAGAACTTGAGTTCTGTGAGCGTTTGAGAGGCTTGTGTTTCCACGGGCCGCAGGCAGATGACAATGGGATGGATCGCTGAAATCTAAATAACCTCACCGGTTTTTGATATCAGTGTCCAAAGATGTAACCGAACATTTATGATCGTGGCTTGTGGATGTTCAGTAACATCTTTGTATTTTACCACAGATGTTGTCCATATTTTTGCATGTCACACAAAGGCTGGATTTTACTGTGTAAATAGGTGAAATGTATAGAAAATACCTTTTCGAGTCAGCTGTTATTTTAGTCCAGTGTTTTCAGTTCTTCATATCCTAATTGTAATACCTAACAAAATGTCATTCACCATCACATGTAATAAGAAGTATTTTTATGTTTGATGTGTTAATATGTACATCTCAAAGTGAGTTTAGTAACATGTGTAACTCGTTTAATTGTTGCAAGTTAGGTTTGTTTGACGTCTTCCATTTAAAGTGTTTCATGTCACAGTAGTTGATTGTCTCTTAAAACCTGACTCAGAATTATGAACATCATTGTCAACCTTTTTTCACCATATGTATTTATTTATTATTTACAAAAGCCATTTGTGTATTTATACATATAATGGTTAGCTCACATTTGCCACCACAGGCACAACTTACACAAACACATGGATATCACACAAAATTCAAATATTTTGGCACAAATAAGAGAATACAGATATTATTCTAAACTGTATGTGGAGTTTCTTTTTTTTGTTTTGATTGTAAACTGTGGTATTTAAATATCTTGCTGTTTATTAACTTGTTTGAAATTAGCCAGTAGCCATCAAGTGTTGGAAAAAAAGGAGAACTGTCTTTCTAGTTTCCTCTTTTCCTGTACTTAAAGTGTTAAAATTAAACACTAATAAGACCTACATGAAGTTTTTATAGGTAGTTTTAGTATTCACGAGGCTGATTGAGATACTCTAGGGATGCCTCATGGATGCTGTTTAGGACCTCTTCCATTTTGAAAAGTCGTCCTTGTTCTCCACTGCCTTTATATCGCCCACAGCTATTAGTAACTGTGCAGAATAATACGTCACCATGACGAGAGCATTACCGTACTCCATTGGCGGCGTCGCCTTGAAAATCTGCAGAGCCAGCGACAGGTCGGACACCATGAAGGACAAACTCCCCAACAGGGTTGCTGTCTGGCGGGATCTGATGGCTAATGCCCCCATTAAAGCAATCAAAACAACATAGATCCCCACAGCTGGAACCAGTAGCTCTGAGTCTGGCGCTGTCTGCAGGAATGGAAATATGTAGATGTAAAAACCTCCTCCTATCATAAAAAGGATAAGATACAGAAAACGAAAACAGACGGAAGAGGAAGCGGAATACGCTGAATAATTGCTGGAGAGGAAGGTGAATGAGTAGAGCAGGTGAGCCGCAGCAAACGCTCCCATTCCTGCAACAGATAAGTGAGATGCTTAGGACAAACAATGCATTAATGACTAGATACATATCAAGTACAAAAATACTTGCAAAATCCATTAGGATTATTTTCATATTTACATCTATAGACATTGCACATACATATTCTCTTTTAGGCCTAGCACTATTGACCGGATGGGCTGCAATTTACAATTATCTTCATTACTAATTAATTGTTTGGTCTATAAAATTGTTAGAATATATCTATCCAAATACCCAATGTTTAAGGTGATGTTTTAAAATGTCTTGTTTTGTCAGTTCAAAGCCCAAAGCACTATATACTTGTACTTTTAATCCTCTACATTTTGGAAGCCAATTTTGTACTTTTTACTTCACTCGAATTATTGAAAAACTTCCTTTATAGGTTCAGATGATTGACTTATACAACATATAAATCAATTGATACACAACATATTATAATATAATTATAGGTTAAGATATCCAGCACCAGTTAAGAAAGCAAATGTCTCCACCTTTACCAGCTGTGATGAACACAACACAATCCACTAATTGAATACGGGAGAAGGGAGTAAATTGAGCCAGTGGGTAAATTGAACCAACCCCCTGTAACCAAGCAACGCCTTATAGTTGTAATCACGTGACCAGAAATTATGCAAGCTCCTCCCATTTCTCATTGCCTGTGAAAGAGAGATGCTCATTGTGGTCTGGTAAGTAAACATTTTTATAAAAAAACGTTTTTTGCTTGTCAAAGTAAATTTTCTAGATGTCAGCTATATCGGCTGTCATGTCAAAAAAAAAAGTATCCACGTTTAAACACATATACTGTATGTTGATGTGTTGGCAGCGTATTAAACCATGTGAATCATTAAGCTAAAGATGATAGCTATTTTTTCTAAAATGGTGGCTATGGGGTAAAGTGAACCATGTGCCTTGGGGTAAGTTGAGCCAGTTTTTGAATGGAGAAATGAATGATAGTAGGCCAAGTTGATAATAAGAGCTCATTGTAGGCTACATTTAAAGTTGAATTTACCCTGTGTTTGATTGGTAAGATTTATGAAATTGTATCACCATTTGTATGATTACTTTTCCTTTTAACATGTTTTTAATGTTTAACAATTTCAATCGAAATTTATATAAAACATATTTGAAAAACTAAACTTGTATTTGGTTTGTAATTTATTGTTTATAGTTAACTTTAAGATTTGTTGTAGGTATGCCCAGGTTTGAACAGTGGTTCAATTTACCCCCTGACCTGGATCAACTTACCCCTAACTGGGGCAAGTTGAGCCACAAGACCACTTTTTTTTAAGAAGTAATATTTGCACTGCCCTTGATCAAATATTAATTATTATCATTGCCATTGATAGGAGACATCCTGAATTATAGGTGTGTGTTTTCATTTTTACTATGTGTCATTTCTCCTTGCTTAGAGGACAGCATAACTAAAAAATGGCTCAACTTACCCCACTCTCCCCTATACATGATTGAACTACTTTTTTGTACTTTAAGTATATTTTGATGCCAAGGCTTTCTACTTTTACTGAAATGGGCCATATTATGCTCATCCGCCCCTTAGCTCATCACTTACAATGTGTTGGAGTGCTAGCCAATAGGGCTGCGTTACAGAAGGAATCCAATGGAGGCGTTTCAGACAATTTGATGTTGAGTACTTCTTCCACCACTGTTTTTAAAATCTTTAAAATACCCCAACAAACTCTTACCGTGCAGAAAATGCTCAGGCCACACCAGGCACCAGTCCCCCACAGCAGAGCAGACCAGTCCTCCCACCACACCCAGCACACTCTGACCTCCATTCCAGCTCAGCACGGCTGCCGCCAGCAGCAGAACGGGGGCCGTTTTGACGGCTGCAGACATGATGGACCCCGGGGAGTCAGGAGTCCAAAGGTAGAAATACAAAGCTGTGGACAAAAAGAAAGGCAGGAGAGAGAGAAAGAGGGCACAAGACTGACAAGAGAAAGAAAGAAACAAACAAGGAGACAGGTCACAACATGAATTCTCAAGAATTTGTTGAAATTTGAAATATTTATCCATTTCACATGCAGAAAGTTGGTGCTGTAAATGGGAGTAAATTATTTGTAGGTACCGTGTATCTCCTCTGCCGCCTGTCGTAGGCATGAGTGTCAAGGATGTCCATCGTCTCACAGTCAGTCGGTCTCAGTTGGATGAACCTGTCTTCTTTTTTCTTTTGTCTTTACTGTCTTTGTTACAGACACATACATCCAGATGTCCTCGTCTTATTCCCTCCAGTGTGGAATCTCTGCTGCTTCTCTCAGTCTGCTGGAATTCCACACGAATGAACTTTGTCCCGATCTTTGCTGTCTGATTGTACGCTGATAATCAATGTTCTGCCTGTTTCACTTCTCATGGACAAACTGCTGACCTTTAACATCTTCAGCTGGGATATGTTGATGACATCAACACAAAAGGGGCAAAGTTGATTTAGTAGTAAACTCATATAATAAAGGTTGTTATATCTTTAACCTCTCATGATTGTTGGCATGGACACATTATTGTTGGAGAAAGGCCCAGAAAAAGTACCTTCTTTAGTAGTTGAATTATATTTCTAAATCTAATGACAAATGAACTATTCATCTCTGCAACAACTATAACTAGAAAGCAAAAAAGTTGACTGCGGTATGTATTTGTGAATAAATAATAATCTCATAAAAGAAAAGTATTTCACAGTGCATTGTTTAAGTTAACCACAGTGGTGGAAAAAGTATTCAGATTATTTACTTTAGTAAAAGTAGGGGAGACCAGGGACAGTTGCAACACGGGTCGGTTGTAACCATAGACTGTATAAAGGTTGTAACACCTTCAATATCTCCAATCACAAACAAGCTAGAGTGATGAAACTCACTCTGCACATGCGCAGTTAGATGGTGAGATCGCTGAGAAAAAAAGGAGCCACGTTTGAATTTCTCGCGTAAGATATTAGCAAAAGTGTGTTTCTGAGGTAAAATATTAACTAAGATGATATGATGTATTTTTTGGATACTGTCTTGAGTTCAAATGTCTAGGAATCCAAACTAGTATTATTAGAATCACTGTTTTGTAAGCTACAAATATAACTAGCTAAATATGGGTCAAGCTAGAAATCAGGCAGGCTCACAGGGGGTGGAAGCAAGACTGGTGGTCCTGGGACGGTTGTAACAGGACGGTTGTAACATGGCACATTTACAATGATGGCTCATTTGCTTGAATGATCAATTGTTCATTCAAGCATACAGTTGTATTGTTGATTGGTGTGCATTGTCCCTGTAAAAATAAACAGAATAAAATACTGTACAGTAGGCCTAAAGTGTGTGTGTGTGTTTACAGTATGCCAAATGTTAGAAAGAGGAAGACAGACAGGGGAGTGCCACTTGCTCTGCTGCAGAGGGCCTCAAATGAAGTTGCAACAGATAAGTGAGATGCTTAGGACAAACAATGCATTAATGACTGATACATATCAAGTACAAAAATACTTGCAAAATCCATTAGGATTATTTTCATATTTACATCTATAGACATTGCACATACATATATTCTCCTTTAGGCCTAGCACTATTGACCGGATGGGCTGCAATTTACAATTATTCAGGGAAGTGGCAAAGTCCCTGGATATATGCCATGTCACCCTGTACCGGTTCCATAAAAAGAGGCTGAGGTTGGAGAGTCAGGGATCACAAACACCCCCAAGAGTAGGCTACTGGACACCAAAGAAGGTGTTCTCAACAGAGCAGGAGATGCTTTTGAGAGACTATCTGCTGGAGGCAGCTGATTTATATTATGGTCTCAGCTCAAAGGAGGTAGGTCTACATAATTAAGGTAGAAGCACCTCTCAGAGAACAGTTTAATCCTTCACAGAGGATGATGCTGTGTGTGTTATCTGTTATCCTGTTCATTGTTTGTTGGAGGATTTGTGAAACCCCATTCAAATCTTGTTGCCATTTGACAGCTTTCCCTATTTGTTGTCATAGTGTGAAAAAAGGTAACGGTTATTAACATGTTACAACCGTCCCTGGCATGTGTTACAACTGTCCCTGTACACAAGGACAGTTGTAACAGTTGAGTTTTTTTTAAAAAAACATTTTCCAACCTGTACTTATTTCATAAAATCATCTTAAATACATTGTTTCAGTAGCTGACATATTGATAATGTATAATATAGCAAAATGGCTATCCTATTGTAAAAATCTTTTTACTTATTGGGGAAAAGCCCAAAAAGTGTTGCAACTGTCCCTGGTCTCCCCTACTAATACCACACTGTAAAGTACAAGTAAAAGGAATGCATCGAGAGTGGTTGCATGGTTGGTATGGTTGGTATGTATGTATGATATTGAAAATGTAATTAAAGTATTAAGAGTAAAAGAACACATTGCAGGAAAAATTCTAAAGATATTTCAAAAATATTCAAAAGCAAAAGCAGCAAATCTTGACATGGAGAAGCAGGAACTGTGAAATGTCTTTAAACAAAAAACGTCTAAACCAAAATCACTCACTGTCTATGGTAAATACATCCGTAAAAATAAATGTATAGTTAAAAGTATTTTAAAAATCATGTAAATCAAGATTTTATTTCTGCCTCATCCGTCACACAGTGTTTCATTCTGTGATACACCTTACAGAGAGATCCTGGATACTCCTTGAACATGTGAAGGAGGAGCTCAGTGATAATACCCCACATGGGAGAACTAACAATGATTAACTATGGCCTCTCTCAGTCAAACTTTGCACTGTGCTTACCCACAATTCCTGGAGTTGTTGGTTGTTCTTCACGTTGGGAGAAACACAACTCTGCAGGGCTGTGGTATTATCTGGTGAGTACAGCAATACATAGTACATAGAAAGTAGTATACTTGTCAAGATAGGGAACAAGGTCAAAAACTGACGTGTTGGTGAAGGATTTTAACTTTTTGTTTCAGCAGAGGACATGGCAACCAGTTCTCCCTCCCAAAGGATCGGAGTTGTAGGATACGGACATCTAGGTGTGAACTCCCCCTCTCAATGTCATACACCTTTATGAGTGGTTTGCTCAGTTATATTCATACCTTTCAATACTGTATCATGTGTGTTCTTCAGGGCAGTACCTGGTGGAGAGGATCCTTAAAGATGGAGCTCCTCTCGGTCTCACGCTGGCTTTTGTTTGGAACAGGAATTCTGACAAGCTCAAAGGCTTAGTTCCTGATGAACTCATACTCAGTGACCTATCATCCTTTGCAGACAGGTGCGAACACACACACAATGGATATGAAACCAAACACAGAACACCACTTTTAACATGTTTGTAATGATCTCTTTGCTCGCAGAAGAAATCCAACTAACACCCTATGACATGTTTTGAAAATACTTATTTAAAATGTGTGTTTTTCCAGGCGATGTGATGTGATTGTAGAGGTGTGCCATCCTCAGATAGTGAAGGATTTTGGGATTCAGTTCCTGGCTCAGTCCCATTTGTTGGTAAGATTGTTCTGTTTGTTTGGGAGATGTGATAGTTGCAAAATAATTTTCAGATTTACAGACCATTTTCAGAAGCTAATTTGACACACTTTCTCACACAAGTTTGAACAATGAATCACATCCTCTTTTGTACATGTATTTCTCCTTCTCTCAGGTGGGCTCTCCCTCTGCCCTCTCAGATCCTGATCTCAACCAGAAGCTGCGTCAGGCGGCTCAGCTGCATGGTAGGACACTTTACGTCCCTAGTGGTGCATTATGGGGGGGCCAGGACATCCAGAGGCTGAATGACAGTGGAGGCTTGAAGGTAACACAGGTGTGGAGTTTGTGGTGCAAGGAGATGTAGGCTTGTTCTGACCAAACAACTTGTTTTCAGGCTTTGTTCATAAGAATGTCCAAGCATCCATCCTGCTTCCGGCTGACAGGAGACGTCCTCTCTGATTGGACTGAGGGAGAGGGCAGGCGTGTCTTGTTCAGAGGCTCAGTGGCAGAGTTGTGCCCACTTGCTCCAAACAATGTAAACACCATGGCAGCAGCGGCAGTGGCAGCAGGGACACTCGGCTTTACTGGGGTTCAGGGAGAGATAGTGTCCGACACAGCGTACGTCTTTTCTACATTTACCTGATGCAGACTATTATATCTTGATGCTCTACTTGACTTGGTCATCCCTCTTCCTGCCCCCAGGTTAAGTGACTTCCATGTGGTGGAGGTGGAGGTGACTGGGCCAGCTGGTTTCTCAGTGCACACAGTGAGGAGGAACCCAGCCAAACTGGGAGCTGTAACCGGCAGCGCAACATACAACTCCTTCTGGAATAGTTTACTAGGTGAGTCCAACATGGTCTGATCCTTTACTTCAGTGGAAATACCAATCCAAAAACACAGTGACATGTTCTGTGATAGATATTGATAATAGTGATGAATTAATCCGTTACTTTACTGATGTACCTACAGTATATGAAGATGGACACGTTTTACTGATATACTTTTATATGTCGGTACATTAGTCCAGAGGTTCCAACCAGGAAAACCTGTTGACTCACATGTAAAACTTGTACATTTGGCTTTTCAAATAAATAGTATTTGACTTGACTCAACATAAAGAAAAGCAAGAAAAGAGCTGTTCAATGTAAAGAAAGAAGTTCTGCTACCAAAATTGCAAACATTTTCTCTTACAAAGAAATCAACTTCAAGCAACCAAACTACTTTTTGTAAGGGGTGACAAGCACAAAGTGTTTGATCTTCAACAAAATATTTCATAAATGTATGAGATCCAACAATTAACTACAGCTGTCTGCTAAATGAATCCGTTAAGTAAAAAGAACAATATTTCAGGGGTAGTTTAATGAAACCACTATGTCTCCTGTTTGAGTCTGGCCTGAGGCTTCTTAAAAAGAAAAATCTCCCACTCCTTCATTTCCTGAGGTTTTTCTCCTATATGTGATACAGAGGCATCTAATGCTGAATAACAAACCTTAGCAATGTACAGCAGTTCCCTCTGAAATACCGTATACAAGTATAAAGCTGCATTCAATCCAAAACAAGTACCTTAAAACTGTACTTGAGTAAATGTACTTTCTCTGAATACTGTTGAAAGCAATGCCATCAAATAACTTTAGGTCATAAGTACAGAAAATATCCTGTGTGTGTGTGTGCAAGTAATGTGAGTAGTGATCAATCCTATTTTTAACCCTTATGATGATTTGTTCTCTTACAGTTTGCAAGGGTCACGGTGGCCGAGTCTACTTGTGCTGAAGCAGAGGAGAGCTCGACATCCCCACAGCAAGAAGATCCAGATGAATCAGCGGAGTCACTGGATCAATATGTTACTGAGAATTCAAAACCCACAGACCCTTGTATATTTGTGGTCCAATAAACTGCATGCATACAAGAAAAGAAGAGCCAGAGATCTTTTGTAAAACACTAACAGGTATATGTTTATTTCAACTTTATTATTAGTTCATCTGGTGCAAGACTTTAACAAATGATAAAGCTCTTACGTTACGTACGGAGTGTGAGCGTACGCCTGGTAAAACCTTCTTCTTCTTCCATTGAAGACACAATTCTCAACATTGTTACTTTCTGTCCCTTTTTTCCTCCCCGTCTCATCTCTTTACCTTCACAAATAAATACTTGTCAAACCCCGGAGTAATCCACACAAGCTCACACAAACAGAGGAGTGTAAGGTTGTTCATCTGTGATTGTCACTGAAAGGCTATGATACAATATGGCGGGAAGAAAATTAAAACACACCATATCCTCAAAATGAGAAGAACATCTTTTGTTTTCTGACATTATTGGTTACTGTGTGTGTGTGTGTGTGTGTGTTGCATTTTATTTCCATTCCAAGGCATTTGAAAGATAGATGCTACACTGTGCTGTCCACTGAATCCTCACTGACACCGTCTTTACAAGAGAGATTCTTTAACCAGGAAAATAGCTTTGATTTTGTACAGATGATAATTTGGATGCAAGGAGGATTAGGATATTTTCCTCACTCTAAACCATTATTAAATCAAGTATAAAAAAACCCTACTTCGGCTCAAAAATAGTTATCCTTTCAATGTTTCTTGACCTACAGTATGTTATCCAGTGTTAGTACACTATAAAATCCAGCAATCCTGATTAGTTTCCTTGTTGAGCCGTCGTTTAGCCCTTTCTAGCTGCTGCACGTACTTCCACAACGCTAACCGATGGTTGCACTGCTGGTGTGACTGAAGCAATACCAAAAACATACCAAACGAACATATATTTGTCTAAAATCTCTGAGGTACAAACAGGTTGGGACAGTGATGCTATTTTTCACAACAAGTCGATATTGAATTCAACACTCGCATTCACACAATTGCACACATTTATGAAATACATGAGGACTTCAACGATTGCAACAAGGAGGTTTCACTAGTGAAGTTTTGCATGTATTTGTGTAAGCATGTATAAGTGTGTATGTATGAGTGTGTGTTTGTTTGAGTGTCTCAGTTTTCATCATCGTCACCATTGCCGTTTCCATTGGCCCCCAGGGGAGAGGTTTTGTTTTTGAACGGCAGGGCGTAGGGCTGGCGGATGTTCTTGCGGTCCTTTTCTGCCTCCACATCTTCGTCGTAGCGCTCCTCTTCATCGTTGTCCTCCACCTCGCTGTGGTGGGGGGAGGAGTGGCGGGACAGAGATGGAGACGGAGGCACAGAGGCGGGTCGCGGGTAACTGAAACCTGAGGTCTGAGGACGAGAACCAAAAGGCTTCAGAATCACAATCAGTGGGTGGAGTGGGAAGATTTCACCTTGAATTCATAAATCACATGACTTACGGAGGTGGGCTCAGTAGGTTCATACATGTAGGTGTCAGGGAACGCTTTAGCCAGGGCCATGTGACGGGCGGATATGTAATACTGGAGCAGGAAACAAGAAAATACATGAATTCATCTTGAAGTTATCACGCAGACAAAATGAGTCCTTGGGGTTTGTTTTCTCACCCTGCCGAGGTATTTCCAGTCCAGGAGTTCGCTCAGACGCTCGGTGCGGTTCCTCTGGATGATCCGCTGGCGTCTGCTCTGCTTGCAGAACTGAAACAGGAAGGACGTGAGCTGGTTACACGACTCGTCGACCCCCCGATACCGCCGGTCCAGGATGTAAATACCTGCAGAAAGAAACAGCATGATGTGGAAAAAGATGTGTTATCCCATGGTTTCTTTTAAAAAAAAGACACACTTTGAGTATGTAACAGATTGAATATAAGAAACGCACCATATGCTGAGGGGTCTGCTATGTGCTCCTCCATGAAACAGCCGAAGCCTGACAGGTTGGTGGAGATTGATGGGATTCCCATCACCGTGCACTCGGCTGAAGGTGACAGAAACAGTAATGCCCATATTAGCATGTTTATTGTTTACAAGTCTTATTTTATTGGAGATTTTAGACCAAATAATGATAACAGGCATTCAATATAATACAAAAATAACAACAATTAAACAACCTGTTATAAATACACGTCTGGACAATATTAAAACAAATTATCTGCTATGCTGTTATCTTGGATAAGGACATATACATCTCATTGGATAAGGAGATATATAGCTTTATAAACAAGGAAAAACAAATAAAGAAACACTTTAACCTTAATATAAAAAAAGTATTCCTTAAAAAAAATTGTTTACAGAATAAACTAAACACAACAATAAAAACGGTATGCCAAGAGTAGTAAAGCATTAGCCAATAGCCATTTACACTCACACCTATCACATAACTATATTTACCTTCACAAATTCTCACACCCCTAATGTTTGACTAAGACAAGGGAAGAAATTCAGATTAAGCCCCAATATGTGCTAAACCTGATTAAGATGTTAACATTATACAATAAGGCTACACCCATACATCCACATCGTCAGCATGCAGGAGGCGTACCTGGAGTGTAGCCCCAAGGCTCGTAGTAAGAGGGGAAGACGCCGAGGTGGCAGCCTCTTACAAACTCCTCATAATCCATAGGAAGAAGAGGAGAGGTGGACGAGAGGAATTCTGGATGGAAGATAATCTAAAGAAGACGTTCAGTATCAGGATTAACTAAAGCAACAACAGGATCAGTGTAGGGGGATGAAGCTTGAACCATGTGCACCCTGAAATGGTGACGTACACTTTTACCGCATCATTAGGGGTGTGTATATATGTGAACTTGCCTCAACCCAGGCTGAACCAAAAGCACGTTTTTGTGGCTCTTTAGGCCATTTAAGGACTTTTGACAGCTGATTTTACCTTGACACGGTCGACAGCGCTGTTGAAAAGGCCGATACGGCGCACACAGTTGAGGATGGGGTCGCTGCTGTCCTCCAGCATGTTATGAGTGCAGACTGGAGGCTGGCACTGTCTCTGAGTCGCGAAGATGGCCCGTTTCATTATAGTGAAGTCCTCTTTGTCAATGATCTTCTGCACATCGGGCAGCTGCCCACTGATAAAAACAGATTGTTTTAGACTTGGAGGAAATGTGTTAAATGGCTACAATAGCATATTTACAGTACAGCAGGTTGTTTCAACGATGTCTCCACAAAGCTTCTGGATTTTGTTTTGTTATTAGACTTTTTTTTTTATCAAGTGTATTTTTTCTAAATCTTTCCACACATTTCATTTGATGATGTTATAAGGCTCAACTTACACAAGGGGACAGCAAAGTGGAGCTTGCCCCAATGATGTTTGTGTTTTCAAGTAGAATGTTCTTGTAATAATTGCCTGCGGGTACACTCTGGCTGCACTTGGCCACAACATTCTCCAACTTTTTGTTTGGTCACACCTTATCACACTTAATCACAACAGCTGAGGTCGAAGCAGCCTTTAAATGAGACATTAAATGACAGCTTGCCTTCAGGCCGCACTCTGTCACGCCCAAGTTTGAATTGGGCATACAAAAGGTAATTTCTCATATTAAATGTGCCACGAAGGAGCCTGAAAGTAGTCAACTTACACTAGAAGTGATTCATAAAGTTTCTTTCCAAAACGTTCCTTCACAGTCTGAGCTGTATCCCTGTTAGGGATAAACAAAAAGGAGAATACATGTAATGAGACAACAAGAAGTCAATGAGTATAGCAATTCCAATACACACTTGACACAATATCAATCACTATGTTGAATATACTGTAAGAAGAAACCTCACCAGAGCTGTTTCCTGACTGCTTGGCCCTTCAGTGTCTCAACATTAAAGTTGTTTGTCCGAGCTGGCATGATGAAGAACGCAATGACTGTCACGTCACTGTGATTGACCTGCAACAGGAAGAACATACAGGACTATGAGGTAAAACTCTCACAACTAAGATTTGAACATTTCAAACACACGCATGTACGTAAACAGCTGAATACAATGACACACACACTTACCCTCAGCAGATAGTTGAGTCTGGCTAACGCTTCCAAGAAGATGTCGGCTCCTTTGTTGGAGAACTCATACCGTCCAGCAATGAAGAGGAACAAACACTTGTCCAGGTTGAAGTCAAGGTGCCTGATGGTCAAACACAAACCAAGATCTGTCACAAGAGGTGGATTATTACAATGTTTTCTTTATCCTAATTGCCTAAAAATAGCTATATTCTTTGGAGTTTGATCTTTCTCTTTCTTACACAATTATTTTGAAAAAGAGCATTTAACTAGCAGGCATTGCATTCCGTTGCTCAGTTTTAAATGTGCTGTTAATGTTGTCTGACCCGTAGAAATGTCCCCTGACGAACTCCTGGATCCGATGCTTGCTCTGAGCGTGAAGGTTTTGAAACTCGTGTACAGCTGAGAACTTCTTTACGTTGAGCCCGTTGGGAGTGATAATGTCTGTGTGCGATGGAAAAAATAAGGACATTAAACGCAAAACATAAATGCAGAGAAACCAGTCAGACTTAAGTTTGCTAATAATAATGATGAAACCTTAGGTAAGAAAGTAATGAGAAATACATCATATCCCCGTCCTGTACGACCTGTTTGTCAGACCATATTTCACACTTCAATTCACCTCCACCCACCTGGTTTCCTCATGAGCAGGTACTCTGCCTCGACGGCAGTGATCTGTGATACAGTGGTGAAGACATGTGCACAGTGAGCGGCCGACCGCTCCAAACAGTAGCGGTGGTAGATCTGTCTATCGCCGGCCTCCTTGTCCACGTTAAACTGAACGAGACACAAAAAGGAGAGAGAGTGCAATCAAGCAAACAATTGGTAGAGTATCTGTCTGATAATGCATGTTTTTCTGATTGTTATGATTTGGGGTTTGTAACAAAGGTATACACGGTTACACACGTACATCTGCAAGTTTGTTATAGAAGTCCACATTGCCAGCACACAGGTATCTTCCTAGCAGAGTGGCGTGGGTGGTGAAGATGGTGGCGACGGGCAGCTGTCTGTGTCGGCACAAAATCAGACCCAGACCTGCTAACCATTCATGGAAATGAGCAACGATGTGTGGAGGCTCCTCACTCTGGGCTGCATACTGCGATACAGGAGAAAACAGGGTTATTATGGACTATGCACATCTACACCAACATGCATTCACACTTATACCTCATGGTTGCTTCAAGTATGGAAGCCCTGAGAGGGAAAAAGGGGTTTGTTGTTGTGATGTTCATTTTTCACGAAAATATGCTAAAGCACACCACTACCCGATGTTTGAAAATAGACTAAAAACATCCATTCTTAAATTCTTTGTACACTCTCAATACAGTACTGTTAATGTGGGTTAGCAAGTAGAGTGCATGAAGAAAGTCAAACTCACCTAAAAGAAAACATTAATGCTTTTAGTGCTACAATTTCTAGTGTTGCACTTCAGTCTCTTGTGGCCAAAGTGAATATTACAAAAACACACAACAAAATATTTTTCAAAAATTTACAAATTAAGTAAATTAGGAGGATTATCCTGCCTTTTTTTTAAGTCATAAGCAACAAATTATATAGTATAGAAAACGATTTTGATCAGATTTTTTCCCCCTTGCCTCTCAGGGCTTCTTAAACCATTTCAAGCTTTTCAAGGACCAACAGATAACTTATCCTCTCTGCACATAAACACGCAGTATATTGCCTTTCATTTTTGACAAAGCTACAAAATGTTACATTCAATGTGCATAAACATTTTCTCGATTGACAGTTCTACTCCTGCTGACCTCTCCCAGAAGCCAGGCCGTCAGGAAGCCGAACAGCACAGCGTCGTTAGCCTCACGATCAAACCAAGGCACGCCGATGTCACAAAGCTCCCACAACTCGCTCTTCCAGGTGTCCAGAGACCAGGCAGAGAACGCCACATCGATCAGAACAACATAGGGACTGCCTTCAATAAGCCACCGCCCAAAGTACACCTGCAGGAATATGGAGAAACAGGGGAAATAGATAAATTAGTATTTAAAGTTTACGCCAAACACGAATACTACGCAATCTTAGGAAAACATATTCACATAAGTAACTTATTTCTTTGGTTACATGCATTAGTGAGCACCTACTTTTACGTTCACGTCATGTTTTTTCACTAACTGAATGGTTTAGTCCTTCTTTCTCTAATATAAAAGTGCTCTATTTGTAAGGCACTCGTTACACTAACACATCCAACCATCCCATTCATGATTAACCTTGATGATAATTTTCATGCTGAATAGCACTAAAAGTAGGGGAACTCCAAACTTGAAGTACGACTAAACTGAAATGCAGGTTATGATTTAATGTAGAAACACAGGACTTTAATATCTTTTATGAAACTAAGTGTCTGGTGCTGGTCTGTTGAGAGATTAAAGGTTGTGTGACTCAAGGTGAACCAGATAGGCTTTGTTGAAAACTCGGCACTATCTCTTTAAAAAGCACTACAAGCCTTCACCCATCATTCCACAGCACTCCCCGGGTTACACAGCACAAAGCTCTAAAAGACACACACACACACACACACACCCCCCCCACACACACACACACAGATAGTCTTCTATTTCTGGAGTGTGTGGAGTGAGGGCGAGAGAGAGAGACACCGATACAACCACTAACCTTTGCGAGGAAATGTCACTGGGTTAAGAGACGTGGTCAACGCCTGATCTTTATATATACAATCTATGGGTCTGAAGATGATCTCTAAAATGTTTGGTGTAATTCACATTCACATAATCCTACTATGGGTAGTAAGAATGACCTTGTCCTTCAGTGTGACGTACAGGTTTATTTCAGCAGCAGTGTTGTGTTTACGGTGCAGGTGTGGTAGTACCTTACACCCACTGGCGTTCATCTTGTCGATGGTTCTCTTCAGCACCGGGTTGGTGGGCTCGATCAGCTCCACCTGAGTGCGCACGTTGCTCTCCACATAGGGACCCACCAGGAAATAGTTCTCCCCCCATTCCTCTGCGGTCAGACGGGCTTTGGTCTGGATGACGGTGTAGATGCCTCCAACTTTACACATGAAGCAAACGAGCCACACGTACAAACACAAGTCCAGACAAAGATATCATGAGATTTAACCTTGTATAAAATACGAAGCATTAAAAATCTCTCTTACAGCGTGTGTTAATAAACAAGATTAGACCAGAAAATCTGACCACAAACATAATTATTTAAAAAGTGATTTGAGAAGTTTTTTATTTAGCTGCCGCCTTATCCAAGCAGCTGTCCCAGGGAGGAACTAGTAAAGTGTTTTGAGTGTATAAGAGTTTCATTTTCCATTCAGTTTTTATAAATGCAAACTGTTATTTGCATAAAAAGTGCAGCCATAAATACACACGAGCAAGGACCAACCACACAGACAGACTTGCCTTTGTTAGCGACCTCCCACGCAATTTCAAAAAGGACAGCGTCCTCCAAATCAAACTCCTCGTCCCAGTCCTCCAGTCCAGACAAGGACGTGACAGAGAGGCTGCGAGCCAGCGGCATGCTGGGTAAACACAAACACACTCGGATGAGATGGGACCACTTACATGATGGTCATTGATTTATTTAATTTACCAAGAGTCTGTAGATGTGTGAGCAATTAACGCTAAGAAACAAGCCTTTTACAATGAAATGTGATTTGTTTTTGTGCCCAAAGGATTACAGCTTTATAACTTTAACCTTGGGATACAAAAATGTTTAATTGCATGACTTTTGACCAATTGCCTGAGATGACAGTAACTGAGAGATTTTTTGAACACTGTAACCTTTTTGTAACTGACATTTCCTCACACCTGCAGATATGTCATCAGTCATTAACAGACTCCACATACTATTTCTCAACACTATTATGAAACACTGATGTGATGTAAACACCACTTTTCCCAATTATTTTACAATTTTCACAATCCTTCCTGGGGAAACCCTGACGATTTCAATTGTAGTCAAACATTTTTAAATATTGTTTCTTTTATTTAAAAAATAAATCACCCTTTGGAGTATCCTGAATGTTTCAATGTTTTTTTTTCTTTTTCTGCTCACTTTATCAGCTTTACCTTTGGCTGTTATTATAGGATCCTGTGCAAACACCCAACCCTGAAGTGGTTCACTGTGATAGGGATTATATGTAAATATGTTTTTTCAGGTCAAAAGGACTACTTCACTCAACTACTGACTTAAATAACACACACAACATGTATATTCATATATTGCAACAAAAGTTAAATGATCAGTCTCACTTTTAGCAGTGGAGACAATCAAAAGGCATAATAAGGAAAGGACTACGCTTCTGCTATAAAATATGACTTTTTTTTCAGTTCTGGTGCAATCTCCTGAACACATATCAGAGTGATATGTCAAAGGCTGAAGAAAGACACAACATCAGGTATAAACATGATCCAGTGATTGATGACATACTACTATGAAATGTTGAAATCATGTCAAGTTGACACATGTGGAAAAAACTCCCCAAAACTAACAGTTGTAGTTCGATTGTGTCACAGAGGAAATGCTCTTAATCCTGAAAACAGTACTATCTAAAAAGTGGTTTTAACACTGCTCACCAGAAATTCAATCAGTGAATCTAACCAATGAGCTGATCTCAAATGTCTGAGTGATTGTCCTGAACTAATATCAGACAAAAGGGAGTTCAGACTCGAGATTAGAGTTTATTTTAGGCTAACAGTATGTCACTGATTGTCCAACATGATACAGGCCGGGACACCAATCGAAATAAAAAGTGCCATCAAATCAATGACAAACATATTGCCAAATAAACTTTTCACCATTTGTATGTATCTGTGTCATCAGATCACATCTTCAATATCCACTGCAGACATGTTTATTTTACTCTTTCTCCAACATCTAGACTCTATATGCAAATACATCTGAACTTCAACAGCACACACAATATAATGCACAGTGACGCTGGGATATCCAAGTGAAGTAATGAAGTGCAAAACACGTTTTTCTAAAGAGAGGGACTTTAAACGAGGCTGCCCATGAGATCAGTTGTATAGTTTAGTCTGATATGGATGGAGACAAACAGATAAACAAACCAATGTCCTTAAACCGAGAGTAAATACCACAGTGTAAAAGCTGAACTGTTGCTCATTGCATTTCAATGTAGGGTCTCTTTGTATGGGAACCTTTACATAGTGCATGGGAAGCCACATTTTATGGATGCTTTATAATGAATCACTGACACTCATATGAACATGCATTCACTATAATTATCGTCCTCATGCCCTTGTCAAAGTCATATTTTGATTTGAACTGCTCAGTGGGCCTACAGGTCTTGGGAAAGGAAAATATTCAATTCAGGCTTTGTCCAAAAATCGTCCCAATGGAGGACACACTGCTTCGGGCGATGACTGAATACTAGCAGGTGAAACAACATCACTATCGACCCGACATCAGACCTTCCGGCTGAATATGCATGCTGCTGTGTATATTTCTCACGAGCTGAGGAGCGGACGTGACAAAATGCATCTCCTGGAGCAGCGGACCCGCGCAAAAGGACAGCGTCCGTGCGCGCCGCCGTCTGTTTTAGGAAGTATTCAGTAATTGAGAATAAAAACACGGATGTCTGCTCACCCTTCAGTTTTGTCCTAACTTCACGAAGATGATGAACACTTGAGCAGCTGTCGCAGTCAGTCCAAAAACATTAAAACCATCGGACAGTGAGAAAAAAGGGGGCGGTGGCTCTAGTTAAATGCCAGCGATCCACATTGGTTTGGTGCGTTTGCTGTCAGATTGAGGGACAGTTGCAGGAAGAAGGTTTTGGTTGGTGAATGCGCAAGATCAGCTGTGACATTATTCATGAGCTGCACTCCTATTGGCCTCAGTATCCTCTTTATCTCCGCCTCTGCACACGACGACACGGAAACTGGGCGTCGTCCTCAGCTGAAAGACGCCATTGGCTGAGCAGAGGTTAAAGGGGGATGCCGTGGTTGGTGTGAATTATCTTTCATCAATACAAAAGGGGGAGTCATGGGAAACCAGGAGGGAGTAAGTTATTTATAATGTCTTCTAAGGGTCATAGGAGCATAGTTGTGAGAATACAACGTGACTAGTGACATTAAGTCACCCAACCCCTCTACATATCTCTGTGATATCCTGCTCTAACCCTTTACACAGGCTGCCACCTGTCTGTCTCACACAGGGGTTCCTAAAGTGGGGGTCGTCTGCCGTGTCTCGCCTTAATGAGTGAGACACACCGGAGTTGAGGATCTGTGGTTTGTATGTCGATGTATGGGAAACACTGTGTTATTTGTATATTACTATCAGGGCCGTCCCTCCCTACAGGCCTATCACGCAGGCTGCATGGGGCCTCACTTTGCGCAGGGGGCCTCGGCCTATGATCTCGGCTTGTGCGCAGTTATTCTCAGCGCAGTTCTCCACCCCCCCGCCCCCCCCCGGCTGACACGCGAGAGTGACAGTGAGAGGAGACAAGGGGAGCACGTCTGTAACCCGACACCGTTGCAATGAATCGACATCTGACCAATCACGGTTTTGATACCACTATTGCAGGTGAAGAGATGTGCGACAAAAAGACAGTATCAGTCCGGCCGGCGCAAGCAAGAGGAAAAAAAAAAAAACATGAAGAAACTAGAGCCTCACTCGAAGGTGGGTTATTGTATAAGTCAAGTGTGAAACTTTTGCCAATTGCCATATTAAAACATCAGCTGCAATTCACGACATGAAGAAGGCAGTCTCTGCATAGCATATACCATTAGCCTATATGCCATATAGGCTAATGGAGATGCAGTTATTTCGAGCATTCTTTATATAGGCTATCATTCATTCAAGCATTTTATGCCTTTTATCTGCTGTACAGAAGGAAGAGTGATACACTGGAGCATTTTCCCTCTTTTATTCATTTTTATGTCAATTTGCACATTTCATGGTGATGCTCAGCCTCTCCCCTTAACTCATAACAGTCATCATCATCTCAACCACAACACAGACAAATACCGATAGAAATGTGTGTGTAGTTGTTGATACATTGCTG